TACAAATGAGTCGTACTGTTACTGCAACTATTTCGTAGTACTAGTCTCGTTAAAACGCGGTAGCACTGGCAGGATAAGATTTCCAAAGGAGGACTCCTGAGTTATGAAATAGCCGGTGGAATGTGCGTGGGCGTTAAGGAGGGCGGCTCGTTGCATCGACGTCATGTTGGCCCCGTCCCCAGATTGCTGGGATGTAGCGGAGGATGTGATGATCGATGGAATGTTGAGCGACGAGCCAAGACTTTGTTGCACTCCTTGCTTGAGCAACATCTGTTTTTTCAGCTGAAGTTCCTCTAGGATCTTCCGATTTTGGAGTTCGCGAGAATTTGGCTGCTGAAACGTCATACTTTATTGATCTTTTCCTCTAGTTTAACTTACTTTTCACTACTTTATTCTGTCAAAGTTTAAACGAAGATGTTCGCAGTTTTTTTTTTGTTTTTAACACTTTTAACCTAAAAATACGTATAGTACGGAAGCCCGGTCACGACATCTACATAAAATCCACAAAGTAAGAGATAAGGAGATGAAACTCTGCACACTAATCACAATCACTAAGGGTAGTCAGATTTTGCGCACAAGCGCGCACCAAAAAAAGGATGAGTGCACAAAAACATGCACGTTAACTCAACTGCTGGCAGCAGTTGCGGAATACAGCCTCTGATTCTATCATTCTGGTCAAGAGAGCACGGTGTAAGATATACGTAAAGTTATGTGTAGTAATTGTAGTACCTAATGACTACTAAGTAGTGCCATGTATGCAATATGGTCGATTTTATAAGCCATCTAAGATAAGTAGAATATCTATACTTTTGAAGACCAATTTTCGGGTAAAAGATGAATTGTAAACTTGCCGCAAACAGCACAAACAATGTCAACTTTTTATCTTCTATTTATATGATTAGTTGCGGCTGGTTTATAATCAACAAAGCGGCTTTACTGTAAGTTGAAATAATTATTTGGATCAGCGCCATCTAGCGGTCTTCATTTTTTGGCGAAAAGTGGCCTCTAAAATTCTCAATCAGAGCAATCAGGCTTAGAGCTATTTGGTCAATTATAAACCAGCCGCAACTCATGATGAAGCTACAAAATAAAAAAATAACGATACATGTGTTTTTGGCGGCAAGTTAACAATTTTTTTTAAGCTCGAAAATTTATCATCAAAAGTATAAATACATAGGAGGTCGATTTTTTGGTAAGAAATAAATTGGTAACTTGCCGCCCAAAACACATGTACTGTTATTTTTTCATTTTATAGCTTTATCATGAGTTGCGGCTGGTTTATAATTGAATAAATAGCTCTAAGCCTGATTGCTCTGATTGAGAATTTTAGAGGCCACTTTTCGCCAAAAAATCAAGACCGCTAGATGACGCTGATCCAATTAATTATTACAACTTACAGTAGAGCCGCTTTATTAATTAAAAACCAGCCGCAATTAATCTCATAGTTATAAAGTAAAAAGTTGACATTGTTTGGGCTATTTGCGGCAAGTTTACAGTTTATTTTTGACCCAAAAATCGACTTGTAAAATCTTCTACTTCTTCGGTATAAGTAGTATTTAACTTTATTTTCCAAATCTGGTGTCAAAACAAAACCAGTAGAATTTTGATGTTACCTAAAGCTAGCTTACGTTTTCACACTCGAATAGGTAAACAAAAACAAAATGTTAGATCGAAATTCACTAACAGTTGGCAAAGATAATCTTTGCAAATCCAATTAGACTTTCGAATGCACCCATAATCTCTACAAATGCACCCCACGTTTTCTGTGTGGTCGTCATACAAAAATAAAGTTAAGTGACACTAGTATGAGACCTTTTGGTATCAGTGAAGCAAATAAACTGGAACATAAATAAACAGTTTAACCATAATACTTAACAATTCTTATTAATAGTGCCAATCATACAACTGTTAAATGAAAAAAAGGTGATGGCCGATGCCGCTGCTGCTAAATGAGAAGCTCAAAAAAGACGGATTTTTGAAAATCCGAAAAATCGTATGCAAAAAGTTTTCGGAGTGTCCAGAAATAAATTGAACATTGGTAACAATTTCAAGATTACGGATACGAAACTATATACAGTTAATAAAAATTATGACATAGAGTATACACAACCTTGTACAGAATTTTATTCAAAACGGATTTAACTATCTGCGTTTATTACTTTGTTTGACAAGTATACAGTCAAGCGCTCGAAAATTAAAATTTTTTGTTTCTTATTCAGTTTACCTATAGAAGCTATTAGATTATTTCATAACTATTTTACAAATAAAAATCTAAAAAATTGTGTGCCTTGTTTTTGTTAGATTTCAAGTGAGTATTGTGATGATAACAAAGAACAATTAGACTTGAAAAAAAGTACTCTGTTGTGCTGAAAAAGTACGATTGTTTATTAAATCCGATCAAACTTGTGTAAATAATTGTTATTTTACGGGAAATTTATGTTGTATCTTAAGTTCTAACTGGTGATTTTTAAGAAAATTATACTCTTAGTTTATTCAAATAGAATGATTTTAAAATTTTCACAACAAAGAAAATCATTTTTTAATAGAATCATTTGATTTCTAGAAAGCTTGAATAACGATGAACACATGTATGTAATAAATGCATTTTTTATTTAGTAAGGTCTAATGCTCCATATATTCTTAGGAGACTCTTCGTCTGACTGAAACTCTTTTTTAAGCCTTTTTTCTTGAGTCTGATTAATTCACGTATGTGTTTATCGTTATTCGAGATTTCTGTAACACAATACATATCAGTTAACTGTTTATTTAAACTATAAAAAGTTAAAGGGCTTTGCTTCCATAAATTAATGGTAAAAANGACTGAAACTCTTTTTTAAGCCTTTTTTCTTGAGTCTGATTAATTCACGTATGTGTTTATCGTTATTCGAGATTTCTGTAACACAATACATATCAGTTAACTGTTTATTTAAACTATAAAAAGTTAAAGGGCTTTGCTTCCATAAATTAATGGTAAAAAGTTCTAAGGTATTGTAAGTTTGTGAATATGGTTGATTGATTTTATAAGCCATGTAAGATAAGGATAATATCTACACTTTTAGAGGTTGATTTTTGGATCAAAGATAAACTGTTAACTTGCCGCAGATAACACAGATAATTTCAACTTTTTATTGTCTATCTACAAGATTAGTTGCGGCTGGTTTATACTTAATTAATAAAGCGGCTCTGGCTTCATGATTGAACTACTCAACAGCAGTCCAGCGAGCAGATGATAAAAACGCATGTTCAACGCACGTGCAACCCAAAAAGGTCTGCATTGAACGAGTAACCCTTGAATAAATTCACACATAAAATAAAAAATTAACGTGGCCTAAATACGTTTTTCAAAATTCAAATAAAATTGAAATAAGTATAAAAAAAACGTACACCATCAATTAGAAAAGCAAACAGCTAACCAAACGGTGTAACCGTTAGCAAATTTTACAGTGAATCGACTAATAAACTTCAATAGGCAGTACGAACGAAATCGGCGACAAATCGAAAAATAATAAAAGAGCTAAGCCATATAGGTACGATAACAAAAATAGTAATGGGAAGCAGGGGGACGATGATAACGAGAATCAGGGATATCGTGACGATTAATCATTTGACGGCCTTGATCCAATCGATTTCGAGGGACGAAACTCCAGGCTGATTATCCGGCAGATACGGTCCATTGTCCACTTTAATGCCCATACTCGTAATCGCCGATAAATCCAAGGGGTGGACATCCGCAGCCAGAGGCAAGCCCCGGTGGTAAGGCTTGAAATCCCCCAGTGGCAGTTTTACCGTAGAAAATTCGTTTTCGCTCACCTGCAAGTATCAGTTTGTCACGGTAACCATTATTTATGTGGTACCCCCACAAGTCCACTTGCGTCAAAACGAATCGCGAATGCGATCGGTTGCGTAACATATACATCATAAAGGCATTTTTATAGATTATAGTTTCGGATTGGCAACTTTGTAGTTCCGTTATTGGTGTACTGGAAGAAAAAACCCGTGTAAGTACTGGACAAGGTGCACATATATATGTACCGTGAAAATCTGGCCGTAGATCACGGAATCGCGACCGAGGCCTTTGTGCCTCAGCAGCATCTTGTACTTGAAATTGGCCCCCTGTCCCCGGCACTTGATCGCGATGTATTGGTGCTCCCTGAGATCGAAGCTCGTGTCCGCGCGTATACCCGCGAAGCCGGTGCCATTGATCCTCGGTGCGAAGAGACTGAAGAAAACGGCGCGCTGGAAGAGCTGGGACTTTTGGAGCACGAGCGCGGCCTTGGACGCGCCGCTCGGCTTGACGGTGTCCGAGTGCTCGGTCCAGCCGCTCAGCTCGTCGAGCCGCGTGAAATCGAACAGTGTTTGCACACTCCTACCCCCGTCGTCGATGCAAAAGAGGATTTACAATGAAAATGAGAGAACAAAAAACTTTCGAAAAAAAGTCATTTTAGAGACCAAAATGTAAAAAAATAAAAAATAAAAAAAAATCGTGGATGGACTCACCCCGATGCCGTGCCGACCATGTCATTCCGCGAGCTAAACTAAGGCACTGGGAAAGAAGAGAAAGTAAAAAAAAAATAAAACGTGATCGCGGTCGTGAAGGGCTGGAAATAATATACGGAACAGTGTGCCATGTCATCTTGGGGAGATCGATGACGAGAAGTGCACACGTAAAGGTACACCTACTTATCGTCGTACTGTTCAGTTATTTCTCGCCCACCCTCCCTTTACCTCGAAAACAAAAATTTATGCGCTTCGAGCACAAATCATCGATCCCCCGACACACCGGTTCTTCCAAATTCAAGTCACCTCCTCGCGTGTCCTTTAGTCGTTGAAAATGAAAGCTCAACGATTTATTAGTCGGGTACCCCTACATCTATGCGTATACATATACCATACGTCTTACAGGTATACATGTCGTACGTCAAAGGATTATCGGTGTGGCATTTAAAATGTGTTGATTATTTATTTAACATTGCCTTGGCGATGTTTACCAAGGTGCAAGTGTACCTATGGATAAAATAATAATAAACTAAATCTTTGTACATATCGAAAATTCTTTTTTTTCTACCCCCTTCCCGTTTATTTCACGTGGTACGATGCAAGAGAGACGCGCCTCAGCCGCAAGTTTGATCAATTCCCTATTTATTATTCGAGAATGTAGTGTGACACACGTTTTATATACGTGCGACACCGACAGGGATGGAGGAAAACAGAGTTAAAAAAAGAAGCCCGTTTGTATATCTTCGGCGCTTCGTGCATTTTATTGTTTTCGAGGAGTATAACAAAGACCTTGGTTTGCAATTACTTAATCCCTGCCAGTATCTCTCGTCCAGGAGGGCTTACTCTGAGGCTCTCGTTGCCTCGATCGTGTCGATCTCCAATGCAGAAACTCCTTGCTGCTTGAAGGGCGAGTAAACGCCCCCGTAAATCTGAAAACCAAACATGGTGACGTGGGCCAGGTCCAGAGGCTGGGCGGTATTGTTCTCCCTGCCCCGGAAGTACGGCTTGAACTCCGTGAGGGGTAGCCTCACGTGGTCGAAGGTCTTGGGCGCGTCGAACAGCTGCTCGTACTCGACGTCGTCGTCAGCCGACCGATGATTGTGCCTCAGGACGATCTTGTAGTGGTAGTTCTGGCCCTGACCCCGGCACTTGATCCTAAACTCCTTGTACCCGCTCAGGTCCCACTCCACGGGTACGCGCACCCCAGCGAAGCCGGCGCCGTTCAGCTGGGGGTTCAGAAGGCTGAAGAAAACGGCGCGCTGGAAGACATGGGTGCTCTGCAGGCTCAGCACGGCCTTGGACTTGCCGACTTCGCGCACCACGTCTGAGATCTCGGTCCAGTTGGCGACGCTCGCGCTCCGGTCTGTGAAGTCAAACAGTGTCGTTGCACTGGCTCTGCAAGTCGATAAAACGTTTCTTTGTCTCCTCCCGAAAATGTTGACACCTACTCGTTCCACCTACACTTTCAACAGTTCCATCCGTATGCTTTTTCAACATTCAGGCGTTTCATTTTAAGTNAAGTTGCGGCTGGTTTATAATTGACTAAATGGCTCTAATCCTGATTGCTCTGATTGAGAATTTTAGGAGCCACTTTTGGCCAAAAAATCACGACCGCTAGATGGCGCTGATCCAAATAACTATTACTATATCTTACAGCAGAGCCGCTTTATTAATTGTAAACCAGCCGCAACTAATCTTGTAGATAGACAATGAAAAGTTTAAATTTTCTTTGTTATCTGCGGCAAGTTTACAGTTCATCTTTGATCTAAAAATCGGCATGTAAAAGTATAAATATTCTACTTCTTCAGTATAAGTATAGTCATTTAATTTATTTTGCAAACTGGTGTCAAAACAAAGCCAGTAGAATTTTGAGGTTACCTAAAGCGAGCTTACGTTTTTACACTCGAATAGGTAAACAAAAACAAAATGTTAGATGGAAATCCACTAACAGTTGGGGAGGATAACAGTACCGCCTCGTTTACGACGTCGCCAGGCTTTTGTCCAGATTGTGGGTCAATTCTGCCACTGCTCGACGACACCGGAGATGGTGGTGTGACTTGTTACGCGTGTAAACGACGGTGGGGACCGAAAAGTGAGCACTCACCTATTGAAACTGGCTTTATTTCTATTAAGTATATTTTGTTCAACACTTAAATATACTACTAGGTACATTTTGTTACATTGTTTTAACCCGTATTTGCTTGCCATTTTGATATCAATTTGTACCTAGGGATTGGGCAATATTACTTTCACTTTAATTTTTGCTGATTGCATGCCCGTTTCTTTTGTTGGCACATTTTTGATGTCTACTTTTTGTCGGACACTTTCTTATCTACTTACTTACCTGATATTGCTCGGAACTTAATGTGTGTTTTGTTAATTTAGTGTTGTAATTACTTACTTGTCAATGGTTTTACCAGTGAAAATTTTTTTAATTGATAGTAATGAAACCTAAATTTTTTATTTTCATTCGATTTCGTTTTATATTTTTTACAGCGTACATTAACTACTGGTTTCTATAAAGCATTGCTTTTTATTTAATGTCAATGAATTAGCATGAACTGGATCATAGAATTTTACTGGCTTTAGATAGCTTTATATGTTAATTTTTTTAGTTTCTAATATGCCTTGTAGTCGTAGTGGTCATTGTTTATCATTTGCTATTAATTATTCTCATAGCCTGACACTGAAAGATACATGACAGTTTATAAGAATTTTTCTTTTTTTGGTAAAATACTGATTTCACACAAACTTTAATATTATTTTTAGTATTTGGGGACATGGCGTTTTCACACGTAGTTAAATTTAAGGACGAAAATACTTATGCATCAGCAACACAAACAGCAGAAGATGATGATAATGATGCAGATGGACCAATTATTGATAGACGCTGTCCTAAATGTAACAATAAGCAAATGTCTTACGCTACATTACAGTTGAGATCAGCAGATGAAGGACAGACAGTTTTTTATACATGTACAAAATGCAAGTAAGTACCACTAACATGATTATACATAAAATTAATAGAATGTGAGCCATAAGCTAATTCAAACTTTTTTTTGTTTCAGATATAAAGAAAGTGAAAATTCATAATTTTGTGTTAAGGGTTTGTGTTTATTTGTAAAATAAAGAAAATTTTTTAATAAAACATAGAGCTTTATTTGTTTTACATTTAACAAATAATTAATGATGATTATACAAGCAGCTCTTAAATCTTATTGTAAGTCTGCAGATGCAGATCCTACCAATCCTACCTTGATTAATTTTTTAATTGAAATGACCTTGTATGTACACTGTTAAATGATTTCAAATATTAAAAGTTAACAAGTTGTTTTATATAATAAATTTATTTTGATTAATCCTCAAAAATGTTGTAATGGTCCATGTTGGATTAAAAAACTTTGAGTCGCTGAAATCTGTAATATTTATTTTTTTATGTACATATATATGTCACACATTTATGTGAGGTTTTAATATTACAATAACAAAGTTTGATAACACACAAGTTAAAAGTCTTAACTAGCATCGTAAATAGAAGAATATTAGAGAAATTTGTGAACTAATAAGATTTACCAACGAGAAAAATGAAACATAAATCTTGATAAAACGTTTGAATAAAGAATTTGTCTAACTTTAATAACTTTTAATCATAACAGTTGATACTGTTAATATACATTTGCTCCTTAAAAATTTTATTTTTCTTGTTTTTATAAAATCGAATATAAAGCAGATCTTTTCAACATTTCGTAAGTTAATTATCGTAGCGTATCAGTACTCTTCTGTGTAACTCGGGCAGTAAAAATTTATTCACTCATAATAGGACCAAATTTTCGCGTCGTCTCTCTTTGAATAAAACATGTCTCATAAAAAATATTCACATGAAAAACGCTCTTCGACGACTAACGACTGCTCTGTCAGTTTTTGTATTATGATTTGTTTGTTCTTTTCTTTTTTTTTTTTGTTTTTTTGAAAAGCTATTCTTTTCGTAATTTGCTTTTTTTTTTGTTTCTATTTACACAAACATTCATGTTACAATTTTGTACACGCGACTATGTACAAAAAAAAAAAAAAAAAAAAAAAAAATACAGCGTTGCACTCAATAACGATGTAGGCCACTCTCCGATCATGACGATGGTATGAAACATTCGTCCAAAAATTTCTCCATCGAGTGGTACAAGTGCAGCCGCATTCGAGCAATGTCGTGGGTCTCATCCGTGTACGTCTGCAAAAGTAAATACATCTTAATTGCACAATCGTGTCACCAGAAAAAAAAAAAAAAAAAAAAAGTCGTTCGAATGAATGTTTAATTTTTGCCGAAAAATGGACCTACCTGCTGACGGAAGAGGATATCCTTCTGCTCGAGCATCTTGGCGAGGAGCATAGACTGCTGGTAATGCACGTTGTCATCGAGAGTGCCGTGGATCAAGTAGTAGCCCTTGCTCCTGATGTTGTCAACTTTGTTGAGCAGCAGACTTTGATCGTAGCCGGCTAGATTGTCGGCCGCGTTGGGCAGGCCCATGAACCTCTCCGTGTAAACGGAATCTGCAATTAAAACGCGAGGCTCATTAATTAATCAGCGCTACCTTGGGACGCATCCCCCGCGCAATACATCGTATACGCGGGACTGCTCGCGCTGCCCCGGTTGCAGCGCAGAGATTAATGAGATTTCTCGCAAGCGGGAGACGAGCAAGGTAAAAGGAGAAGAAAAAAAAAAAAAAAAAAAAAGAAAAACAGTTGCGAGAGAAGATGATGAGAGGAACTTTGACGGGATGCTGGTGCCCAGCTTGCTTGTCGTTACAAAAGACGATGCCCCTTTTCCCACTTGGCTTTTCTGCTTTTGTGATCCTTGCCCTCGCTCCCTTATACTCATAGCTCCTTGTGTTTTGGGGGGTACGTGGATGGGTACCTATTGTGAATGCATGCTATACCGTGCACTGATACGGAAAAGGCTACGGTGTATAGACTCGAAGTGTAATTAGTCGTTGTCAAGCGGCTTCTTTCACTCCAGGACGCGGATTCGAAAGAAGCTGTAGGTGTACTTATACATGTTTGCTGCGCTCTTGTGCTGTACCGTTGGCACCTCTGTTATTATTTTCTCGCCCGAGCTTCGAGCAAAGCTTGTAACAATGAAAGAAAGAATTCATTTTTTCTCCGTTTTTTTACTCCGTTGTGCTGTTCTTGGTTTGCTTTGCGAATGCGCAATTAATTAAATTTTCCCTCGCCTCGGGTAGGTACACCAGTACAAATGTAATGAAGAAAACAAATCGAGGCAAATGCTTTTGTCGTCATTTCATCTTTATTTCACGTTTGTTGTACCTACAGAAATAGATACGGGATAAATCAATACGAGTCTTGCACGTGCGTTTTGCCGATTTTCCGTTAGCAGCCGAAATAAAATTTATTGCAAAACGAAGACAGTTTCGATTTTTGTTTAAGTTTACACGCGTATTTTTTTACAGAGTACAATTATTGTATACAGCAGAGATTTTTCGATCAAAGAGACATATTGTGCACTGTACCTACACACGTTTGACAAAAAAGAAACAAGGGAAACTCTGCGTGATGGACTAGCAGTGCGAAATTGAAAATGTAATTCAAACGGAGGGTACTTTATTTTTTTTGTAGACGCACAATCGAGCAAAAAAGGGCTCGGCTTTTACCATATACTTTCCAGGTGTTGAGCGAGTTTGTGGTTTTGAGATGCACAGAAGGGTGGTTGGGGAGAAACTTTGCAAGTCCGCGTTTGGCGGGGGGAACATCAAAAGCAGGCCGGTGCTCTTACCGTAAAGCGTCCAGTCGGTCACTGGTGCAACTGACAAGCCACATTTGAAAATCCCATCTAAATCCATTGCCAGCGCCATGCCCGTCGCGTAGCCGCCGTAACTCCAGCCCCATATCGCTGTCCTCGTGCGATCGACGAAACCGAAGTTGTTCTGTATGTACCTGCAAGTTTTTTCCATTATAATTTTTTTTTTTTTTTTCTATCTTTACTACATATAGTATAGTTGGGCTGAAGTATCGCTTGACTTGTCACAGTTATTTTTGTGCGTCACTATACTTAAACATCAATTTAGTTTTGGCGTGGCGTAAGATGAAACGGCGCATGGGATTCGCCAAGAATAAACGTGACGAAAAAATGTTAAGTAAAATTTATCGCTTGCCCTAAAATATCGTACGATTGCGAACGCGATGCGAATAACAAGCAAAGTTCAAGGGCATACAATTACCCTGTTGGTGTAGTACGCAACTAAGGGTGGATCTGATCGGAAGGATTATATTACCGATAACATGCTGTCGCACTTGACGGTCGAACGCTGGAAAATTCGCGGAGCGCGCTCAGTTTTCATTACACTGTATATAGTACCCACTGCACGGAAAGTGTTTCCTCGCAACGAATGAGATTGGTCGTTAATATTTATTTTAATCAAAATCGTTCGTTTGCATACGTGCCCTCCCATGTTGTAAATTTGCAAATAGTGTAAGCCCGATTCTTCTGTTCGCAGCTTTTCCATATATGCTTATATATTTAAAAAAAGTCAGTTTTATCAAAAGCTAGGTAAATATGAAACCCATGGAATAATTCCCGTTTGCTTGAAACCAACTATTTTCGGCCATCAGTTCTATCGGTGATCAAACACTTTCGTTGAATTTCGTCGAAACTCCCGATGTGCTTGGAAAAGGAAAAAAAAAGATTGATTTTAATTGAAACTAAATCAACTTTTCGAGAGACCCCCGAATCTTTGGCGACAAGAAACGAGGAAGGGGATGGGGGCAATTGCATATATACAAGCCTTGATAAAACGCGCTCAAGAGAGCGAATGGATTAATTAAAATAAGTTTCCCGAATTTCGCCCCCTCCCCTTCACCTCTACATCGCTGTCGAACCTTGTAAAGTCAGCCCGGCCGTCTGAATTAGCGATAACCAAACTCTTATTAAATAAGTTTAATCTCCCCCTCTCGAGGTAATACCAAAGGGTGTTGAAAAAGAAAAATATCTCGGTCATATTTCGCGTGGCAAATCAAATTTTCAAGCCCCCCTACCTATAAACATATACGTACAACACTGGGATTTCTCGTTGGAATTAAACCATCCGCGCGCGTCACGAAGTTTTATCGTACAGTCGTCGGTGCGTTTTAAAAAGTTTACAGCCCCACTCGAAAAAAAAAGAAGGAGCCTGCAGCTATAAAAGCGGGTACGAGCACCCCTCCCCAAAAAAAAAAAAAAAAAATTCTTTACGATTCCTGTATAGCCTCTCGAATTCCAGCGACCAGCCGTCTCGGCTCTTGATAGGAGCGCATTAATCAATGACCTTCTCGCGGTTCGTCCGATCTCGAGGCGAAAACCTCGAGAGCAACGACAGCGGTAGCTAACCGGTTATGTATGTACTCTTGCAAAGCTCGGCGCTGAAAGGTGGTGAAATCCCGAGTATACGCGTCCCCATACAATTCGCAGGTAGGGATGAGGGGAGGGGGTGCAAAAAAAGGGGTGAGAGACACAGAAATCCTCGAAATTGAACGAGTCGATTCCCATTCGACGTTCCTCCTTCGGTTCGAATTGCCTTTTCTCTATTCCATGCAATCGCGAAAGGGATGGTCGGGCCACGCTCGAGCCAACGTTTTCTCGGAGCTGACGATCTGGGACACATACATATAGATACGTGAGTTTCGTGTGTCACGACCCGGATGGGACGAAAGAAGGCCGCAGACGTCCGGGAGTTACGGCCGAGCTATTTATTATGGAATCGTCGCCCCAAAAGAGCGCGATCTGCGGTTCGTGGGGTATAATACATGTATCCTTCTCTGTGGATGCGTCCTTTCTCCAGAGATTTTTCCTTTTTTCTTTTTCTTTTTATTGAAATTGAACTTAGGTTACTTACTTTGTTGTTTTCATTAAATTTTCGCAAAAACAATGTTTATCATTCATTTGATGGTATAGTAAAAGCTTGCGTTTTTTTTTTTTTTTTTTTTTTTTTTTTTTTTTTTTTGTAGAGGCAGATACGTTCGAGAATCACGTACACCGACGAGACCTACGCATGTACACGTATGTCTGTACAGAAACCAATTTTTTAAATGTCTCTACGCCCGAAGATAAAATTTAATTCGCTTTTACAAATTTATCCTACACGAGATATGATAATCTCTGCATTAGTTCGAGGCAGGACCACGTGGGCGGCTGATCAATTTTTATTTCCACCCCTCCACCCCGTGGTCTCGCGTGCAGTTCCTCCCTTTTTCTTTTTCCTTCTATCGCCTTTTATCCTAGATACCAGCCAACGTGTACACGCACAAAAAAATGAAAAAAAAAAAAGGGTTAGAACAATAAAATGTTTTTCCACTCGTGCAGGATATATAAGCCAATAAATAAATAAATAAATATCTCTCGACAATGCCGAAGAGCTTGCGATTCAAACCAAGTTGCAAAACCCTTTATCAAATGGCCCATACGATTAATAAATCTTCCAGCCTCCCTACCCCCCCCCTCTTCTTTCATATATACACACACGCATGCACGCCTACGTACAACGCCAATCGATATTCACGATACGGCTGGGATAGACCGGCTGTAGCAACAACAACGACGACGACTGCAAAATGAAAACCCAGAAGAGCAGCAGCAGCGTGGGACAAAATAAACGTCACCCTCCTCCTCTCAATAGCCCCCCCCCCTCCCCTGCCGGTCCTTTTTCTCGCCAAAAGGGCAATTCTTTTTTTCCGAAACCGCTCGCCATGCCCCGAGTCGGTTTGCCCAGCCAGCGCCGACCGTACACAACAGCAGCCGTATATACACCTTCCATACAGGCACGTGGGTATATATGATATATCCTTTTCTTGGCTATGCACTTGCTCTACGTACAAGTCGAGGGTAGAGCATACCCGAGGCGCGGGCGAACGTATAATAGCAGCTTCTCAGTTCACGTGCACACAAGAGCGCTGTACGGTATGTATTGACGTTGAGGCAGGCCCAGGCATGTGTGTACGTATAGTGGTGCTCGTTGTGCGCCAGAGCTAGTCATCCTCTTCTTCTCGGGGCGTAACCCACACGCCAGCGGCAGCATCGCGCGGGTGTGTGTGTGTGGCTGGGCTGGGCTCCGCTGCTGTTTTGCTGGCGCGTCGCGTCCCTCTCTACTCCCGGCTCCGCTCGCGCAAAAAGTCAGTCGCGAAATTGGAGAGCGGCCAAGCAATTGCGGACGATGGGGATACGGGGGAAGGGGGGTGGGGTGTACTGTGTGTCGCTCCGAGTTACTCTCCCCTTCGACTCGTTTTCAAATACCGCGAACCCCACTCGTGTGTACGTGTGTGTATACATAATGTACGTATAGGCACCGGCTGACCGATCGCTGATACTCACTACTGTGCTCCGTCTTGGTCATTCCTCTCCTGTACACACCCTAGCCTGTTTTGTTTTGCAGTTGTCGGGGTGTGACTCGACTCTCCGGGAGAGCTTTGGGCGTTTTGTCAATTTTTCCGGGGATGGATTACGTAGGGGAATTCCTCAAAACAATGCTTTTCATTTCGGAAGTGTGTATACGATCGTATCTACGCTCACTGAACCGAGAATGTTTTAGTAACGCAAAAGAATCCACGAGTCCGTGACTGAAGTTGGTAAGTCGAGAGTACACGGCATGTATACGCCCGTGAAGGACACTCGGAATATACACGGAGCGAATATAAGCACAATAAATTTTTATGGTATCCAAGAATTCGTTGTTAAAACATGAATATACTCGCGGATACAGCACTACTTGACGTGTCGAGGGTGTATTCCATCCGGGTTCTCGCGGCGTTGCGAGTCCTTTCAAGACGAGATGGAAGACTATTCATTAGCGGTGCAAGTTCGGTTCGCGCACGCCCGGCAAGTTCATCCTCTGGCCCTCGTGGTTGCTCCTGATTTTACCGCAGCGGGCGTATTACGTGCACCGTCTTATCAAGCCCGTAAGCTGATTTCACGGGCCGAGCATATGTGGAAAGCCCACGTCTCTCTCGCGCGCGTCAAACGTATTTTCTCCCCGCGTTTTGGTATACCTTTGCCCCTCGGGGAACAACAATGGTGATTATAATGATGATAATAACCTGATGTATGTGTATACACGACGTCTCGTGGCTGCGGTTAATTTCATGTCCATGCATGGAAATTTGGGGAGACCAAATTGATGCTCACAATTCCCTCGAGTTCCACTCATCATGAGCTTACTATCTCTTGCAACAGCTCACGCTATTCAATTTGTTTCTATATTTTTTTTCACCAACCATAGAAAGAGGGTAAACATTAAAGCTTTTCCATTCCAGCAGTGGCTCGTGCTGCACTCGCATCACGTGACGGGAAAATTCAGAAAAAAAGAGTCAGGCATCGAGAAAAGAGCTTTCGGTGCTCTAACTTACCGTTGGATGCCCAATTTATTCGATCATTGTCCAACTACGCTATACTATAATTTCCCACCCTTTCTTCGACACGAGTGTAATTGCAATACTTTCATTTCGTCAGTTTAATGTCTATATTCGATTTCATTCCAACAGCTGAACCATAGAAGTTGTAATATTTCACTCTCCGAAAATTCACTTGGAGGAAAAAAAAACACACACACACAAACTGCATTCGCGAGAAAAAGATCAAAGGGGGAAAAAAAAGAAAAAACGTAAGCCCGCGAGAAGCCCTGAGGCTCGAGCACCGCCCAACATCACACGAGACGCAAAGTATTCGAGGCAGCTCGGTCATAATAACTATAGCATACCTCCTTCCTTACCTCCTCCGCGGGCACAAACATCAATCTCCCCGCCCCCCGTCCCTTGCGTGGAACAATCACGGCCTCGCGCGGAAAGGGGCACTTTGCCGAGTCGTCCCCTCGAGCCCTGCCGAAATGATCCTTCACGAGAGTGAAAACGGAAAAATAGAAAATAAACGAGTCCTTTCTCTCCGGAGGGTGCAGCCAAGAGGCTCGTGCTATATGAGTGTTGGGCCATCGGCTCATTACCTCGGAGCGCCCACGTTGCGCGCACCACAGCCAAACCGATATCGCATGCCTCATCACTCGTAATGTCATGACCAACTCGTGCCTTCCCGAATCCTTCGAGTTTGTACGTATGCATACCGTGCGGTGCGAGAGACCCAATGAACCTCAGCTGGAACTTCACCTCCGAGAAATGGATAATAGACCTCAACGTCCGGGAAGACGTTGAAGAACGAGCACGCAGCAACTGCCGCGCTCTACACTGTGCACAGTGACGTGGGAGAAGGTCTGCTTGTAAAACCCGTGGCAATCCGCGGGCATCGGTATAATAGTAAGCTAATTTTCCCGAGGTCGAGGACGACGGGTCTCGGGAGAAACAAGGAGAACGAAAGGGGTACGAGGGGCCGCGTGTGTACAAATATGTATATCATACGCGCCCTTCCACCCTCACCCCTCCCTTTGAAAAGGAGCAGATGTGTATCAGTGTGTTCCTCCGCAAGTGCATCTGTGGGCGTGCCCCACCGTAACGTGTACGTATATACATATACATATGCGAACAAACTCCCTGGGTGATTCTCCTGCGAGCGCCTATTTTAACGAATTACCTCGGCAGAGGGGCTAATGTGCGCTTGACGCGCCAACGCCTCACTATGGAGAGCTCGAGTCTCGCGCGCTTTGCTCTCATCCTTTTGTTTTCCGACAGTGGGGGTGGGCTTGCTCTTACTTTGACGTTCGATGAGTTTGCAAGCAATTTAATTCTCGTTAACGTTATTTTTATTGCATTGCTACGGGGAGCAAAGGACATAGAAGGGGCGACAACGGGATGTTATGCACCCAAGAGTCGAAAGATGGATCGAAAAAAAGGAAAAAAAAAAAAAAGGAAAAAGAGGGGGATGTGAAAAACAAGAGGAAGGGGTCGGTTTAACGAACGGGAAGTTAGTTGCACTCCGCGGGGATAACGAGATTACGGGGCTCGGTGCTTGCGAGCCTCTTCTGAATACGTAGGCATACACAGGTATATGTCTATAGTTAGCTTCGTTAAGAGGGTTAAAAAATATTGCGCAACCGTCTTCTGGTTGGTACTTAGTTTTAATCAATTTTTTTTCTCTCCCCCCCCCCCTCTCTCTCTCCTACCCTTATTTCTTACGTTCTCTACACTATGTACAATAAATCCAAGTGTTGTATACCCTAAAGTTAAAGCGTTTTTTTTAATTTTTTCCATCGGCTCTCGATACCTTGAAAGCTTTTGAGCATTCGAAACTACGCGTACTCTAAATGAAAATGCCTGAGTTGTGAATATCAAGCGCTTTAAGTTTTTAACTTTGTCGTAAGAAGAGGTGTTTTTTTTTAACGTGTAAAATTAGGGACAAGATAAGAGTTAAAGCCCAAAGCCTAAGCATTTTATTTAAATAGATTAAAAGGCGCGAGCGTTTTTTTAATTTAACCCTACAAATGATGGCTTTCAAACATACTCGTTGCGTTCAAATTTTTCCGGAACGCACTGTTGTACTCTTGTTGTACACTCGATCGTTTGGTGACAAAAAAGCGCTTGAATTTGCAGTAAAACGATAAATAATATATTTATTGCTCACGATACACGATGAGAAGTGACGACAAGCGACGAACACTTTGAAATTAACGTCTCACCTCGCATCTGTCACTCGCTGCTTTTCATTGTATTAAAAATCTGACGATATTAAAGTATCGGGAGTCGATGGAATTTCATATCGAATTGAGCAAGCCGTCAACCGAAGAAGGTGGATACGATTGATATTAGACCTGCAGCCCAAAGATATGGGGATCGACGTCATTAATCGCGTGAATTCGAAATTAATTAAAGGGGCTGTGTCGCCGTCTGAGTTATACCCAGCCCCTGGAGCGACAGAATTAGAGTCGCTTGTATGAATATACACGTGATGTATATATAGTACGGCGCAGCAGGTTCCGCGTTATGTGATCGATGAAAGTTTTCGCCCCGCCATTCTCTGCTTCTCGGCTTGAGTGACACGCCCGGGATTACGCAACGTAAGACGCGAGAGGCTGGGGGCCTATTGATTGCGCAATATTAATCCGACGCTGTTTACGCGAGAAGCTGATTAAGTTTCATCGGTATATACCACGCGGTACCGGCTTCGCGCTTTTTACGCACGCCTCGTTTAACTATATTGCACGCTAACCAGGCTCATGATCGTCTTATGAGTTTCATTGTTTTCAAGGGGTATCGATTTATCTTTTTGTGAAAAAAAAAAAAAAAAAAAAAAAGTTTGTCAACACGATTCATAACAACACGCTTACCTCGTAACGTTGACTTGGTCCATGACCTCGACTGTGCCGAGGTTCCTGTACACCGCAAACATCATGGCGTTGCCTTTCAGTCCAGTGCCCCGTCCGTCTATGGACGCGTAGATAACACTTTTGTTCGTCACGAGGTACGTTCCCCAATCTATGTTGAATTTCTCCGTGACCTCGTTCGTGTCGGGCCCACCGTACCTGAAACACGAGACAAAGCCGTGAAAACACGTTGCGCTCAATTACAAACGAGTCTACATCGGTTTTTCTAATTTTCCTAAGATCCACTATAGAGAGACAAAAACGCAAAAGCGCCTCGATACCGATCCACCGACTCCTGGAATTTATTTCCAGAAGATACAAAGTAGCGTTGAATTACACACGAAGGATTCGGGACGCACTAAAGCTAAAAGTATTGTCGCAAAGACCCGATTCTAAGAGATGCATTACGCTAAAAGGAAGCGCGCATGACCCCCTCGTAAAATAAACGAACACTCCCGTTTGCAGCAGTGAGGAGGAAAGGGGAACGATGAAACAAAAAGAAAGAGATCCAGCCGAATTTTTCGCATCCCCCCCAAATCGATTCCCATTTCGTCTTCCAGCGTAATAAATTGCCGCAGATGACGTTATATCCATGTGACTCCCATGGACGGATGAAAAAAAAAAAAAAAAATACACATACTCACGAGAGGTACGCTAACTGCGCGGACGACAATGGAAAATTATTCCTCTGTCTTACCCATGTGTACACAGATATAAAAACCTGCGAGCACGGAAACTCTTTTTTCTGCGGACAAAAAAAACAGGTGATCAAAGAGAGCAGAACCTAAAGACTCGCAATGGTCCCGCTCTCCGGCGGCATTTCAGACGGTCCGATTTTGTTTTTTCCTCCCTGGTAGGTAGCATAGCTTGTTTCTAGATTCCCTTTCGCTTCCTCGTATACACACAGGTATATTACCCGGAGTAAGCATCAAAGAAACTCCGTCTCTAAATAAAACAACGAGGGGCCTCGGGATATACGTGCGTAATCAGCTGCACAGCTCCACACCGGTACACACGCGTTTGTACACAAATACAACATACGGTGTGTAGTTATATATAGCCACGTTGGGTGAACACATGTGTGCATACGCACATCTACTGTCTTTCGGCAAATCCAGGGATTTATGCGCCCTCGCGCCTCCCGCGAAATTATTCATAGCCTCGCGAGTTCGCGTTTATATATATATATATGTATATATATGCATACACGCCGTGTGCTTGCCAACCTCCTTCCCCGCGAGCGAGGGAATCAAGAGCAAAGGTATAGGCATTACTTGACTCTCAGAGTGCCGTCTACGCGGCTGTACGGCTACCAGTAATTGGAGACCGAACGTCGGTACGTGCGTGTATGTATAATATACCTGTATGATGTATAATTCGGGTGTAGGAGTGAAAATGCATAATAAACGATCTGGCCAACTGTTTCTTATTTCCCAAGGGGAGGGTTCGAGGGTCGTCGTCGTCATCAATATTCACCCGGGCAGCCCATGTATACATGTTTTCGGGGGACACCCAGCGCGCAACTTATCCAGCCAGACTTGCAGATTATTGTATACGTCGTTACGAGTAAAAGGACACGACGAGTAAGGAGGCCATTGGCGCTCGGGGGGTGTACAGCGACTCCTCGGACCCTTTAGCCGTTTGTGCTTGCACCTCGAAAATCCAGGGCGACCGTGGTCCTACGGCCGCTCGTGCCCTTACGTGCGGTATACACACCCGCAGTTGTACAGATTGCTCTGAAACTTTGGGCTAATGCACCGCCACTTCGCCGCCGGTGGTGCTGTTTCAGGGGGTTCGGAGTAATTACCGAATCTCTTCGCCCTGTACACGAGATACAATGGTTCCGTACTCGTGGTTTTATGCAATGGCTACACGCTCCGTGCTTCGTCAGCTTATTTTTTTTTGGATTATTTTGATTTTTTTCTTTCGTAATACGTGAATTTGTGTACAACCACGCGATTCAATGGAATAGTGGCGGCAAAGAGCCTCGTAAAAAGTCGTGAAGGACGAAGGGACAAGTACCCGTGAATACCGAACTAAGCGATCGATTGGATTTCCGAAGCGATCTTCTCTCTGAAAAGTCGCGTCTACCGCGTGCACGATCCGCACGAAATGGGAGGGAAGCAAAAGCTGAGTTCTCGGCTCTTTAAGAAGGATTTGGAACGTATAAGGCCAGTCCGCGGCTCTCCGCCGCTGTTGATCCGAAATAACCTTGCAAAGCTTATCGGATACTCGGTTTTGTAACTGCATGGGTGTAGTGTATAATGTAACGTACACGCGGAGCTTCAACTGGCGTTGATTTTTTGGAAAAGCGGAGTATCGGCGACTCATTCGAAAAGCAATGTTCGCTTTTTCCGAGAGAAGTATACATTCGTCTAATTTCATCGAAACCTACATGCGCCATCGACGGTTCGAAAATGAAAATTTCCACCCACATGGTTAAATTTGTTTTGTTTGATAATTCACACGAGCGAGAAGATGAGAATTCCCGTTCTGTTGGATTATACATACCAGCTCCTCCTTGAATTGAATGTATCCATTAGATTAATCGAATAGCTGTTGGGACCCTCCGCTCGGCACTTTCATTAATTGCTTTCGGAGGTGTTTCAAAATTGGACCCGACCATTGTCGTTTCCGAAATAAAAATTCAGAACTGATATATTTTTTTTTTTTTTCATTCTGTTTTTTAACCAGTCGTGTGTGGCGAGTTTCGGCTATAAATCTTTTGTGAATGATTTTTTTTCCGTTTAAAAACCTGCACAATAGGTTTCGAGATTTTGACGAGAATTTATGGCAAAGCTAATCTAACAGCATCGGGTAAGTACTGACGTTAACAAAGAGATCCTATATAAATGGACTGGTTCATCGGTTCGTAGCTGCATTTCAAAGATACGCCGTTCAAACAGAAGAACTAATATAACCGAGTTCTTTGGCTCGTTAAAAATTTATAAATTGTCAGCACAAAGCCTCTCTCTCTCTCTCTGTCTCTCCGAGAGATGCACAATGAATTCAACGCCTTTGGAATTAGAGTGCGCGTTGGAATTCAATTTCGTAGTTGGCTAGCTGGTAATCGAGGGCTCTCGACTACCCCTCCTCGGATTCCCTCTTTTCCACTGTGGGCACGCGTGCTTTCGCGCAGCCATCGATCACAGTTCCAAAAAGTGCACTCCTCTTTCTTCTCTTCCTCCTCGGATTCACCGAGCACGACTTGGAAGTTTTTTTTTCCTTTTTCTGGTGTCGCAACTTTATTCATTTCAGCGCTCACTGCTCTTTGTCACCACCGCCTGTGTACTTTTTTTGGTGTCTTCTTTGCTCCCTAAACTGACTTTTGCTAGTTTCGTGCACACACAGGTGGAAGTTGTCAAGGCAGGCTCTCGAGGAAACGTGTAAGGACCACGTAACGCTAAACCTTCCCTTTTAACATTTTTCTCGTGTCCTGATAACCCCTAAGCCAAAAAATTACCGAGAATTTGCGATTTTAGCTTTACTCATTCCTAAGGGAAGTAAAAGTGGACTATTAAAGTCATTAAAGGTCATTTGCAGTCATTAAAAGTAATCAAACGTCCCAAAGTCTTGCAAAGCTTCGAAATGACGACCGGCAACTGTTTTGTCACTTGACAGCACTTCCTTTGGACCGCTTTGTTTTCCCCTTTCCATCCAAAAAGCTACAATCAAACCATATCAGCCAAAAAATGGACCCTTCTCGTTCTCGTCGTACCTCGTAAGGCTACTTCTCCGGTACCGCTTCAAAGAAAAATTTCGACTCGCCTTTAGATTCCAGGCTGGAAAAAATAATAAAACACGACCCTTCGATCGTCACTTTACATATTACACGCAGCTCCCTTCCCTCGATTCTTTTTTTTCTTTTTTTTTTTTTTTTTTTTTTTCTGTCTCGACAGCTCGAAATTGGCTTTGCCTTCGGAACCTTTCTAGTTCCCATTACAGCGGATCGAATTCGCTGTGGGTGGCCGCCCTCAATATCCAACCAAACGTAGCTTAAGCATAATGGGGTAACCGTGTGTTTGTACAAGACGCTGGTCGGCTTGGGAAAATCATACCCTCATGGACTTACTTATACCAATAGCGAACGCGTGGGGTTGCGTAATACGTTTTGAGGTTGGCAGAGAATGGCTCGTGAAACGTAAGTGATGGATCGGCCATTATACCAATACATGGGGAGTGACAGGTCATTTATGTACATTCAATTTAGGGATGAAGATGGAGCAGCGATTTGTGAATTAAGTACAGCCTGTAGAATTAGGTGTACACGATGAATTTGCGTTTGCGTCAAACGTTACTTGTGGATGAATTTTACACGCATGTATGAATCGCAAACTGTGAAATACACGAGCTCGTTCGTATGCGAATATAGTTAATGCTGTTGGGCCATACAATTTTACTACTGGGTACCGGCACGGTATCGTACATATTTGCAGAGAGTTTTTATTTGGCGTCCTCGAAATTGCAACTCGCGTCCACAAACGCGACCCTTTTTTTTGCTTCTAATTTAGATAAAACTCGCGGTATTAATATTTTATCTGAAAATACAAGCAATGTTCCATTTCAAGTGCCCCATCGTCGACGCGGTAACTTATAGCTGTATCCCCGTTTTAACCACGTAAGCGGGAGCGTGTAAAGTGTACAGAAGCCATGCGCGAGCGAGATGGGGTAAAAATGACATTGTTTGCCAATTAATGAAACGAAGGAAAGAGTAGAGGAGAAAAAGGGGTCCGAGGCAGTGGTCACCGGAAAACGAGAAAGCAGTGAGATCGTTAGCGGGTATAATTAAATAACACACCGAAAACAAACTCGTTTGACAAATTAGCCGTGGGACGTTAATTGAGCGCAAACGACCTCTTAATATCTCAACGCCGCTTCCTTCCCCCACCCCGAAGCATCCGGGCTAAGTTTTTACCCACGACGTCCCTCTAACCCTTCCCCCCCAAGTCGTTCCCGAGTCGGTACCGCCACCGTCTACAAATTAGACGTTATTAGGATTTACGCCGGAAGTTATATCGCGCCGTGGCGCCGTCCTCCCCTACAGATAAACGCGTACAGCTACGCGTACGCTCGCTTGCCTTACCTATCCATCGAGAGAGAGAAGAAGCTCGAGCGTAAATTTTCGAGGAAACGCGTCGCCGGGAACACGAAAAGCCGCTCGCGCATAATCAAATGCAGAGCCCCGGCGTCCTCTCGTTCGTTTCGCCGTTTTTTTTTTTTTTTTTTTTTTTTTTTGGAGTAAGCTCGCAAACGGGGGGTGCATCGTTGTCGATGCTAGAACGTGTGCGTGCGCGCTACTCATAGACGAAATTCCCGGAATTCCGGGTTACGTAACTCAACGAGTGAGTTATCCCTTTTTCTTTACGAGGTACTGCTGCACATAGCTCTCAAAGTCTTTGACTGTTCCTTTGAGCTTTTTTTTCACGCTCTCAGGTAGGTTTTTGGAGTTGGAGGAGCATTTTTTTCAGCATACCCTTGCAGTTTGTAGGAGGCTCGGAAGACTGCTGGATTTAACCCGAGGTTGGAAGCCGAATGGCCAAGCTCCCCTAAACCGGTAAATTTTGGTTTCCCATATAGATATTTAAACAGTGAGCACTGCAAACGAATATAGCACCAGTTGTAGTATTGGATTATGGGAGTTTCTTCTATACTCGTGAGAATTGCAAAATATCACTTGGCGTCGTTGTTGTACAGCTTTTCACTTTTTATTGTAACTAAATACGATTGGAATTTTCCAATTTGCTTTCACTCATAATTCATATGGAACACGAATGAAAAGCTCAATTGAAACTACTCTTTGTTGTATTTTCCTTGTATTCGCGAAAAAAAAGGGTAGCCGGTTATCATCCTACGTTTTTTTAAATCTTCCATCCTGCTAGTATATTTAAACAGCGATACTTCAAGCGAAGATTTTGTAGCAAAAAATTAACGACAAGCTACTTTCATCCTCACCGTCAAAACAGTTGAAAAAACGCAGTGAATTTCGACTTTATCTCGAGGGAGAGAAGCGTAGAGTATTGGAGTTTTAATTAAACTCATGCTTCATACATGTTTTTTTGGTTTATTTATTTATTGTTACTTTTTCTTTGCAAATTCCATTGGTTGGCTTACAGCGGTAACCTTGGCTTTTATGAGTCAATTAACTTACAGCAATCTCGAGCACATCGCGAACACACGCGAGCGCTCAACACCGTCGCCCGTGACGAGTTTTTTCCTCTCCCTCTCTCTTCTCTGTATATATACATATCGCTTTGCCGTTCCCCACGTTATTAATGGGTCTGGAAGAACAGCTGTATGGGAATTGGATGAGGTAGAAAGAATCAGCTGGGAGGATAGCTTTCGAAATGAAGCTGGATAAAAGTGGATTTTTGGGGTGGAAATGAGAATGTGTACGCAGTGAAAACTGGAAAAAAATGCATAATGTCGAGCGAAAGTGAAAGTCTGTGTAAAGTAACTTTCAAAGGGAGACATGCCTTCATTAGTTTGTATACCTGCTGAGGGACACTTGCAATGTGCACGAAAAACAAAATGAAAAAATTAAAAAAAGGAGGATGAAGAAAAGATAAGCACGGGGGGGGGGGGGTGATTTTTTTTCTGTCTCGACAGCTCGAAATTGGCTTTGCCTTCGGAACCTTTCTAGTTCCCATTACAGCGGATCGAATTCGCTGTGGGTGGCCGCCCTCAATATCCAACCAAACGTAGCTTAANAAAAAAAGGAGGATGAAGAAAAGATAAGCACGGGGGGGGGGGGTGAGGCAGAAGAGGTGGTGGCTCGATCGATCTGGCGCGGGGCTTTTTCGAAGTTTGCCGGTCTTATACAGCGAGAACGAGCGCGAGTTAAGTGGTTCTATTGAAATCACGCGCGCAGGTCAGCAGCAAGTGATGTATGCGAGCGTCCCACTCTCGGCACCAACACCACCCCCCTTACCCCTCTTTCTTAGCCTTAGCCTTCGAGACGAAACTTTGAGTTTCAGCACCACAATACTACGGCGAATGAGTGTGCAGTGGTTGCGGAGAATGGATGGGGGGGGGGGAGGAAGCTGGCTTTGAACATGCAGAAAAAGTGCCTCGACCTTGTTTGTTGGCATGTAAGATGTTAGCTTATCTTGCATGAGTATGAATGTTTTTGAAAACAACGAGAGAAGGAGTAGAGTCTTAGCTTTTTTCCTCTTTGTCAAAGACAACTCGCGTTCTTTTGTTACTTCAATTTTAGTGCATTGAGTGATGTCTGACTACAATCAGTTGTTTGTACTAAAATTATTGACTATTTTTTTTGTTTTAATTTCTATTCGGATAACTTTGTCAGGCATGCTATAAAGTATAAATGTTTGGAAAAAAAAAAAAAAATAAAATAAAAAACAAGGATAATAACTCTTTTAAAGTTTGCTATCATCAATTGTTTTTCATTTGTTTCATTTACGAGATTTCTTTCATAGTATTAACAAAATTATTTTACAGTATACCACTGTAAAATAACTATTGATTGGTTTTTTAAATGTAATTTCTCAAAAAGTACATATGATATTTCGCCTGACCACAATCAGTTTTTACTACTGAAAATATCGATTAGATCATAAAGAATTTATTTCATTCAAACTTTATTCGAAGAGCTCCATTGTCTCATCTACAATATTAATTGTAATGCACTGATGTTCATAATGTTTACAACAATTACTCAAATTTAAAAAATAAATACTTGTATTTTTTACCATAAGTAATGTCTGATAGTATTTAGATTATACTACTGAAAATGTTGAAGAAACAAGTTTTGTTTGTTAATTGATTTCACATACACTTTATAAGTCATTTTAACATTTAAATCTTAGGTTGAGTGTTTGTCTGACCATTTTTAGACAGTACTACCAACATTCAGATTATGATCCATTTGATAGCTCTACTATATCGAACGAATTGAATTAGCACAAAATTCGAATTAAAAAATAATGTCAATAGCACGAATTACATAGATAACATCTTGACTATTTAAAGTAAATATTAAATTTCTCAAATTTCAAAATCAAATACTTGTATTTTTTTATCTCAAGTAACGTCTGACAATATTAATACTACACTACTGAAAAACTTGGAGAAGAAAAAAAAACGTTTTATCTGTTACTTGATTTGTCATACATTTTTTAACAGTCATTTTAATATGAAAATATTTGGTTCAGTGTTCGTCTGACCATTTTTAGGCAATATACTACTAACCTGCAGATACATTATGTATTTGTAGCTCTATTGTGTTCAATGAATTGAATCAACACAAAATTTGATTTAAAAAAAGTATAAGTAGTACGAGTTAGATACATAACAGCCTAACTACTTTTAGTAAATATTACTGATAATAGTCAATTATTCGGTTTACTTAAGTAGCTCTAGATAAATCGGTGAGGGGGGTTGTGATTGAATGAAAATCACGTTATGCTAATCCAGCTAATTACGGAACTTTCCTTTTCGGATCACCCAGAGCTCCTCAAAGTTGCTTTGATTGAGAACGCGCATTTTCTGGTGTGCTTTGGCACCACCAAGAGTTGCCCAAAGCACCCAGAACAGATAATATGACGCTCAACCGTAATTGGTTATAATTACTGATCACATTTATTAAATTCTACTTAATGAAATTTCATTCTATCTCGATGTGGTTTGAAAAAATTTTTAATCATAAAAAATAGTACCATCTTGATGCTATAAAAATAATTATTTTTTTGGTCTAGTGTGCTTAATGTACATCCCATGATTGACATATTTGAAACAAGTGTATATTTTCAATTTCACCTGAGATAATTATACTTAGTTATAATCAGTTATCACTACTGCAGGTATTGAATTTATTTTTTTTGAAATTTCAAAGTCATTAGCTTTTACTGTCGACAACATCGATAGTCAAATGGGTGACCATTAACAAATGGTAATACTGTTGGTCAGCCATACCTCATATTATTCTTAGTTCTTAGTCTTTTGTTCAATATGTACTTATGTGGAAATTAAAAATATTAACGAACAAAAATAAGTGAACGTTTAATGTTTTAAAATTAGTATAGTATCGATGATATTAACGGTGTTAAAAAAGAAAAAAAAAGTTAACATCTAGTCGTAGTAAACGTACTTACACATAAACGAGCATGGGATATTTGGTTTTTCCGGACAAGTCTGCGTTCGGTGGTAAAAGCATTTTGACCTGAGCTTCAAAACCACCAGGCACTGGCACTGTGAACCTCTTGACTATTGGACGAGCCTTTTCGGCGATGAGTTCTGCTATAGGTTTGTTGCTCTCCCACGTAAACAATTTCGTTGAATTCTGAAAGTAACGATACTTCGCTTGAATAAAAGGAAGAAGATTATTTATTTTTTAAATTAGGAAAGGCTTATTATGAGCTACTTTTATTTTATCTAGACCTCAACCAATGTTCGTATCGTGTATTATTCGTTGTCCATTAGCAAATGCATTTATGAATCATCTTAAATTCCCTTTATCAGCAAATGCGATATTTAATTGATGAATTTAATCATTTTTAAAATTCTTAAAAATTTCAATTTTCGCCTTTGCAATAGTACCGGAACATACGAATCGTATAACAAAAGCGCAAAGCGACAAACAATAGAGGCGCGAGTTCGAAATTAAAGCGCGTTTGTTTATAGTTAGCTCACTGGACGCAAAAAAGGTGGTTAATTCGTAGCTGCTGGCCGAGAGGCAGCAGCTCGGGCAAAAACGTGTCCGCCTCTTCGACGCCCCGTACAATACGAAAATTTCGTGTCACCTCGAATTTCATCCACCCCACACCCTTGGATCGAGCTGAATGATTCGTCAAATGCGAACAGAGGCGTGTGCGGGCGCGTATCAATATTTAAACGCGCGAAAAAGCGCAATACTGTCGGCCTCCGTTGCATACTGGTCGAGCATCGGGGAAAAAATTTATTAGCACCTCGAGTGCGTATACGTGTATGTATCTACACAGGCTCGTCTGAGGCAAAATCGATTGGTAGACGAAAAGGGGGTCGATACGTATTTAATAACGGGGAAAATGTTTTTTTCCTTTCGCCTCTCGTGACACGTTTGCCGAAGAGGTACAAGAAATTCGTTTGAATTATTGTACGGAGCGCACGGCAAGCTGTTTTGCATGACAGTTTGTTTTGCCCGAGTTTCTGTACAAACTTTAATTACAAGAGGTGGGGCATTGAAATCACGAATTTATCGCTTATTATTTCTCGTCGGTGCTTATTATCAGTTCAAGCGCCCCACACCCTTTGTAATAAACGTTTATCACTAAAACAACGAAAGCGAGGATTCATAATTCCTAATCAGAGGCTACAATCAATAATTTAGCAATGGATTTACATTACTGGCCTGCCCGATTATTCCATAAATTAACTCGTCATTGATAATGTACAATTAAAATAATGTATTAGTCAAATAAATCTGCTAGAAGAGGGACATGTCTAGATTTGAAAAAATAAAAAAATAAGAAATCAGCCCCTAGTCGCATGAAATGTGGTCTCCCGAGGCAAATCCAAACTAATAGCGCGCATCACTTCTCCGGTCGGATTGAATTTACGAAACTCGTGCATTCCTAAAATCCCTGTGCACGTGTATTTGCCCGGCCGGCATTTTCAGCTTATCTTTTTACGTACGCATCGTAGATCACACGCGAAGCTCCACCGACGCACCTGTTACCTGCGAAGTTCCACGTGCAAAAGCTTAAAGCTGCCCCACCGGGGCATGCCGCTCCATAAACTACCGACACCTATCCCAACAACAACAACAACAACAACAACTTTAGGGATAACAGAATTTAATAGGGATCGCTCGAGTTGCAAAATTTTATTTTCGCGTTCGCAGCACCACAGTGCACCGGAGGAGGATCAATGTGTGTACGAAGGGCGAACGGGAAAACTGAAAATTGAGCGAAAGAGGTATGTACAAGCATATCGGCTTTGGGTTCGGTGTAGCTCAGAGGGTTGATCAGATGCTACACCGGGTGGTATAACGATCGAGGCACGTTCGGAGAGCTTTTACGTGACCACTTTCGCGACGCCTCCTCCTTTCCTCGCAGAGGTTCATAAACGCTTCCAGGAAGAAAGTTGGGGGCGAAGCGAGCAAAGGCGTTTTCTAGCATTTTTTTTCTTCCCCTCTTCCTGCACATCACGCTCGCGTAAAACAGCTGTGTTTACATTGGAAGTTTTTATGCGGGAAATATTTTTCCTCCTTTTTTTCTCTATCTTGGGTTTTTTTTTTTTTTTTTTTTTTTTTCATTATTATTTTTCGATGTATTTCACAAAAGCATCACAAGCGAAACTCTAATCTGGGGGATCTTGTTGCAGCACGAGGAAAGAAAAGAGTGCGGGAAAACTATTGTTTGCTTCTTTCATGGTGTCGAGGGGATGGGAATGAATAATTTTTTCGTTCTTGCGGCGCGCGTAGCCCTATTTTTTAACACCTCGTAATTTAAAAAGTTTGCTCAAAGTTTTTCTGGATTATCTCAAGCTTAAAGTCTGTTTAAGCTCTTTGAATTTATTTTCAGGACGAAATTGCGGAACTGACGTCGAGTAGGGTAAACTAGTCTCTCTTTTTTCTGGACGTTTTAAGCTCTTATACATGCATTTTACATTTACTCGATGATACGTTTCGTTTCAAACTCAAAGGCCGAATATACGCGAAGTAAAAGTAACGATGGAAATCCAAAATTTCAGCATTTCATATTTTTCCCAAGAAGAGTATATTGTCCCTACATTGAAATCTTACATCATTACTATGTCGCAAAAACAAGAGATTCCTTTGGCAAAATCCTTTATAAGTTGTAACAAAGTTCGTGAATACTGGTATCTCTTGTGAGAAACTTGGCAATTGAATTTTTTGCCCTTGTACTGAATTTGATGCTCGAGAATCTTTTGTTTCGTCAACGCGAAGCGAAAAGCAACGAATCTCCTTTAGGGCGAAAAGTAAACGTAGTGAAAGCCATAATTTCCTTTTGAGTTGAAAAGCAGTGATTTCCGCGGAGTAGGTACAGCCAAGTCCGGAACAACGGAGAATGCAAGGTCCATACGCTTGCACACGTGCACAAATACGCAGACTCATACGTGGGTGAAGAGTCATGCAAGTGTTCGGGCTTACCCTGTTATGGATGGTAATTTCGGGGATTCCGGGTCCAGCGCACGTGAGTACGTAGTGCGAATTGTCCTTGGAGAATTCCGCCGAGTTGTAGAGGCAATAGCTGCCATCGTTCTCGCTTTTGATATTGCAGCTGAGACAATCGGGACTGCCCCGGTTCCGATCCAGCGCCGAGACCCGATACAAGTGCTTCTGCGCTGGGTCCCGCTCACTCGTCGCCAGATAGTACCTGCGAACACAGATACCACAAATGGTCGTCAAAGGCCTTTTAACAATGTTGCGGCATCGGTGGAATCCATATCTCGGATTCCGGTTGACACAATGCGACTCGAAACTCGAGTACAGAAGCGAGAGATACAGCTATAGCTTAAGGTTTTCAAACATCATTTGGTCACATTAAATTGTACACCACATGGATTTTATTACGGTTTCAGAAAAAGTTTCTCCCGCAGAGTTACAATTGCTGCACGGAACAACGCTTTAACATTTCGTTTGTACAGCAACTTCTTATTGAAGACAATAAGTATTGTTCAGATTAAATAAAAGTACGAACTTGATGTTCGTGGAAAATTTAGTATACTTCAATTAGTTATCATTCAGATTTTACGTAGGATAGGTATTACTTTTTTTTCAATGTCAGACAAAAATTTGGTACCTTTCTAATATATCTCTATCTGCTCTCTCGCTTTTGCGGTATAATTTTACTTGTATAAAATATCGTAGTTTTTATAAAAAGTATAAGATGAAACAAAAAAATATTTAGGATTTTGTATTCCTGCGACTCATAAAATTTTAATTACGAGTATATAGCACATTCGAAATTATCACTCCGAATTTTCAAAAAGAAAAGTAACAAACAAAATAGTAAGAACCTTTTTTTTTTCTTTTGACAAAGATCTTAATAGCTAAAAGCAATAACAAACACCAAAAAGTAGCTCATTAATAATCGCATTTAAGGCGATCGATATAATCCATTTACGCGAGCTCAGAGAACGTCGTACCATTATTGGATATTACCACTGAAAAATTGACGGAAATGTGTTTGTGATTACTTTTTTTATTGCTATGGGGAGTATATAAATGGATTTTTATCACCCACTGAGTTAAGTTGATTATGCCAATGTCTGACTATTTCCCGGCAATACTACTTGAAAATTGACTTGGTTTATGGTAATGGTTCAACTTTTAAAACATATTTCAAATATTTTTATAAACATATTCAATATACTAAAAAAAGGTTTATAATCAAAACTTATATTTAAGCTTTAACGACTTGTAACATAATTCGTTTATTAAGTCTATCTAGCCTGACCATAGTGAGTTATTACTACTGATAATGGTTTAATACTTCATTCGTGTTTGAATGAATTAAAAAACAGCATGTAAATAGGTAACCGTATAAAATCAATTTACTCTTCTGAAAGCTAGATTAGTCTTCTGTTAACGGTTTAATATTTATGTTTAGTACACGAAATATATTTATATCGACGAATACGATTGTTACGAAGTAATGTATTACACAACTCATACACTAAATGAGTAATTTTTTTTTTTAAGAGTAGTAAGAGTTTTTGCCTGAGCGAAGCGAGGGAAGAATCAGCCGTGCACAGTCGTCATGTAATTTTTTGATACAAAATGTGAAAATAGTACTCGTACACAGAAACAATAATTTTATCGATCGAAATATACAGAAGGTCAAAAATACTTAGTAATAGCGTTATTTTACGAGTAATACGCGGGATTCAGAAGGTAGAGTTCCAAGACGGTAGTCGGAGCATGTGGAAGAGCGAAAGTAAGTCAACTAGATGACGGGCTGACCATTTTCGGGTTATACTACTTAAAGAAAGAGTATAGCGTTAATAGTACAATGTCTGCATTACGTACACCAATCATGACAATTTCTACAATTACAATAATTATACAAAAATTCTGCAAGTAATAATTTCCATTTGAAATCGATCAAGCATCGATCAGTATAATGTTCGTTCGCACTGTTGAACAGTTGTTATAGGAGAATGAGACATTACCCTACAAAGCGCTCGAGCTCCAAAAATTATTAGCCACATGATTCTTTGTAATGGAAACCGAGGACAGCTTTTTACAAACATTACCATTAATTTGATCAATAATGCGAATACACAGCCAATCGCGTTTCGCGCTGTTGCCGGTTGTTTACAGCCAACCAAACACGTGCACGCGTACACGAGCGGACGCCATAAAGTAGCTAAAGTCACAAATCCCGCAACAGATTACCGCGCGAGAGGGAACATTTGCCGAAGCGTCGTGCAGAGCTCCGATCGTAAATTCATAATCAGCCGATGTCCCTTTTATCATTGAAATCGCATTGTGAGCGTTTGTAGTGCAAAGCGATGCGACAAAAAAAAAAAAAAAGAAAAAAAAAAACCACCAGAGCGAGCAAACAGACGCGCGAGAAATGAAAAATGTTATTGGCCCGACCAGAGGGTGGCAAATAAAAAGTGACCCCAGAGGGGGTGGCAGGGGCGAATTAGCGTATTTCAAGGGCGCCGAGCGTTACGAGAGTATAGGTCGTCTCGCCGTTGCTATACATATATATCTCTCTCTCTCTCTGTCGCCACGTACGGGTATTGTGCTCGCAATATCTCCCGCGCTTTTTCACTTCTCCTCCCCCTCCGTATTGAAATGAAGGGACGTGCAGTATGTCCCAGCGCGCTTTTGTTCAACTGGTAGGTAGATAACTTTCGATTTGGTTGGCTGAGCGCGAGTATGGCATTGTTATTAGAGGCCCCGGCTCCGTGATGCAATTTTTCTCCGTCGGTCGGTCGTACGCTGCGTCTCGGCTCCATTGTCCGCGCCCTCGCCCCATTCCCGGGATGGCACAAAAAGTAACTCGGCGTCGCGCATTACTTGAAAATATAAGCTCACATCGTGTATTTTCGTTTTTTTCCATCGATATTTCACCCGAGAGTTTCGTTACGTCAAACAACCCCAATGGGCGCGAGCGTCGATCTACAAACGAGTGGTAAATATTCCGAGCGTTAATTCAAAAGCTCGAACTGTGCCGTGCAAATCGAAAGCGCAACGCAATCACTTTTCTCGATCATTTTTTTCTTCCCCCACCATACGCGAGCGAACTTCAAAGGCCGATTATTGTGTAACGCGCCAACTCGAATCGGGAGATGCATCAACGGACAGAAACTACCCCCCGCCCCCTCGGCATTTAATTATATTCAACACAGCCCGGGCATTCGCAAAGTTTGAACCACTGTTTTGCCGCTGTACTTTTCTGCGCGTACAATTCATGTACACCGTCTACGGGGAGGAATTCCCGTACATGCGCGCCCAGGCTACTTCAACTTTGCGACTTTGGCCTCTTTGCCATCCCCCCTCCCCCTCAACTTGCAAGAACTGAATATCTCGCCAGGAAGAAAGTTTCAGCGTGGAATAACGTGGAAGCGAAAGAGTATACACCACTTACCCTTCACTGGGGAGTGCGCTTTGGAATTACCCGTATAGCTCGGGGGTAAGTTACATATGCTACAACTCGAGTCTGACGAGATAGCGGTCTGTCGTAGATGACGCCTGTCTGTCTTTGCGTAACTTTGCGTCGCCAAATCAGCCGCGGACGAAGGTAGGAGTGTAGGTGCGGGCTCGCCTTTAATGAAAATGACCGAAGGTACGTACAGGTATACCGAGGATCAAAGCCGTACAAACCCGACTTATCGCACGTGTCGTGTCCCATTTTTTGCAGTGCGCACCTCCCGCTACATACACACTTTCGCGCGGTGTCGATAAGAGAGCGCCCAGAGACGGGGAAAAGAAAAATCTGACAGGGCCTTCTATCTGGATTTAGCGCCCGGGCGTGTACGTTCTCTCTCTTGCACCTTACCTCCGTTGTACACATCCATCTGTTCATCTATACACACCCACGTATAGACACACGTTACCTCCTTGCAGGGTCTTTTCCACGTGGCAGCGCCAGAGTACGTCCTTGGCGGCGAAACAATTTGCGGAGGTGGCGAACGAGGGAGGGAGAGACGCGTGGCAAGTGACAGTGCTCGGAGAAAGAGGTTGGGGGAGGAGGAAAGTGACGACGAAGCTACCCCGATACGCATCTGTCTCGAGCATACACGCGCTCGTGGGTGGAAAAAAAGATGCTCTCCGGTAGAGAGTGCCCGGCTCCGGGTAATTCGATAGGTGCGCGCGAAGCGAGAACCAGAGGAGACGGAGGGGGGGGGGGGGTCCGGCAGCGCAGCAAAAGAGATAATGGCCTTGGAGTTTTGAGAGGAGGGGAGAAGCCGAGGGGACTAGTCGCGGGCAAGTTGGCCGGCACGGCAGCTTTCGGAAGACGGATGACTCTTATTCAGGCTGGATTAATTCGCGGGGCCCGCGCGCTAATTCAGCCCCGGGTGCGAGGGATCGATCGCTCCGTCGATGGATCGATCTTGCCCGGATGAGCGAGCCACGGACACGTTGTGTTGGGATGCGCTTCCTCTATATGTACACGTATACGTGTGCCCTCTCCCCTGTTTTCTCTGTTCCGGGGGGAATGCGTCGCTCGCTGCAATTTAGCGGCTATACGTATAGCTGGGGGATGGCAACGTGGCTCGATTGCAGTGGGCGCCTTGGGCTGTAATCGAGCGGTTCGATGCTGCGGTGCCGCGCGGGACCGATTCACGTCGAGTGGCGCTGTTGCTGCTGTTTTTTCCTTGCTCCGAGCATCGGATTTTACTCGGGCCTCGAGATTGAGGGCGCGAGTGTCCGCCTTGAATTTTTCATTTACTTATACTTGTTGGGCTTGGTGTATAAGTTCCCTCCAAAGATGAGAGTCTCGCGATCGCGGTCGAATGGAAAATAAGAAATCATCGCACGTAACGGGAATAAAAACAATAATGTACGATGTACTCCCCGGGGAGACGGACGCGAGAGCCACACGTATAGCACCGGTTTTATCCGTCGTAAACTTTGCGCTCGTAAAACTGAGGATTCATAAGCTTTTATTCGCACTTTTTTGCCATTTGAATAATATACAGTGGGGAGGTATACACTCGTGTTCTGTACCTATAGAGCCCTTTTTGGAGAAATGAAAAAGTACTGATGCTTCGGAGAAAAGGAGTACACGCGATGAGTGATGGTATGGTTTTCAGAGCAAAGACTTGCACGAATAAATAAAAGCCATTCTTTTATTACTCCAATTTTTTCTCCCTCTCTTTCCCCTTCTTTCTCCACATATTGTTATTAGCAATTTTAGCTTGTTTTTTTTTTCATTTATATTTCTCACTCCCGTTTGTACCAATAAAAATTATTATTCATTTTTTACGTCTTATTTTTATTAATTCACCTGTGATACATGATTTTAAGATTTACTAGTATGTAAACTGATAATGTGCAGTTTTAAAAATCGAAGCCAATAAAACGAACCTCAGATCCACAACTCCTTTTTCTTTCTTTCGTTCTTCCATCAAAGTCGATAGTTTCACCCGAGCACCGTGTGTGCCTGTGTTATACACGTATCGCCAGACCATCCCCTGATTTCCAAAAACTTTACCTCGTCGCTGCAACCAACTTCCCTGATTTCTTAATTCCCCGTAAACTGTCGATTAATTATTTCCCTATACCTGCTCCTCCGATCGCTATAGTTTCGCCTCCTCCCTCGGCAATCGCTTCGATCTTCCACGAAAACGGAGAAGCACCCGAGTTATGCGTTTCATGAATAGGTGCCGCGTAAGCCCCCGAAAGTTTTCGAAGAGGAAGGCAGAGAGGTAATTCCGCGAATTCGAATACCTCGTCGTAACAGAGCACTCTCCCCCCCCCCTGGCATCGATCGCCACACCCTTGAGCTTTTGTACGTACGTATAGTCGGTGTCTTCGGATGGGGTATCTTTTTCTCTTTACCCCGCGATTTTCTTTTCGAAGCCACGAGCGAACAAGAGTAAGCCACGGGACGAGGAGAGAAAAATCAGACGTAACTACTCGTCCGCCACTACTGGGATTCCGCTAAGCCGGCCCTTAATGGAGTAACTTTTCATTCGGTCGGAGGAAACCGAGAGAGAGCCTGATTATATGGGCGATGCCTCGGTGGGAACGCGCCGGATGAATGGGAGCATGATAAAAGGTGGATCAGCCCCTCTTAAAGGGATGAGGAAGGGCCCAACGTCTTCTTTTCCATCATTTTTCTAATTTCCATCGAGCGAACGACAATCGCAGCCCGAGTATTCAATCACATCGAATCGATACCACCCGTCGGACGACCGATCGTTTTACCACCCCCCCCCCCCGGCTCTCTGCGTTGCGATCGATTATTAACGCGGTAATGGAGACTCTGCGTTTCAATTAAACTTCAATAACAAACCGATCGAGTTCGCCAACGCTCCATTGAACGAGTGGTTCGAGCTGTGCGATCGTCCCGTCGAACAATCCAAAGAGATAAAGGTTTTACACACGCGCGCACACGCAAATGTAATGGATTCGCGTACGCCTAAACATTTAAAACTGTTTCCATCAAATCCGGGTTTACTCTATAAACGAGGAAAATGAGAAATTTCCTATCCGCGAGGTTGTATTATGTAATCGGCTTCCCGTGCACTCGAAACGTCTATACGTGTATAGTATATCCTTGCTCGGACTAATTAATTTTGCAAATAAATGCCCCGTGGCCACACGCTCGTCGATAACACTCGTTAGCATGTCAAAAACTCAAATCTCTCCGATAGCTAGCCCCTTTACGTGTATACTGTACGTATACCTGTACAACTAAACTACTTGATCCGTGTGGGGTCGTCGGTATATCACTGTAGCTCTCAGCTCCATATAGCAGTTGGAACAATGGCGCAAACTAATCACTGCGCCATACGGAGCCCTTTGACCCCCTTCCGTCAATGACTCGAGGTACAATCGAGACCGGGCCACCCGAGCTCGCATTATGCGCAAATAAGTCGTCGGGCAAGTGCTCGCAGTTGGTCATTTGTCGGCCAATTGTTCGGCATCTACCGTATCGTCGACAAGTTGCGCCGATATAAATGTCCCGGGACCATCGTGTGTGCACAGGGGTACGATATAGCCCTGTGGGCGCCCGCGTGATCTGCTTCCACGATCCGAGGGTCCTTGTGAATATCGCGTGCACCGCTGTTGCGCGTAACTAGTGTTTTGGAGTTGAGAGATGGAATCGCTTTGTGCGAGATTCTCCCGCACCCCCACATCGTCGTTATGTCCCAAATGGGTGGGTGTTGGATTTTTTTTTTTTTTTTTCGTTCGAGCGCATTTGGAGTTGCTTTTTGCTCTCGCGTGGCCATAGTCGTCTTTTTGGGTATTCGACGGTCGAAGGAGAAAACTGGGCCAAGAAAAATCCCGGCGGTCGGAGTTTGGGATTCCGCGCGCGCTGCGATCAATTAAAATTTAAGGTCCAGTCACGTTTCTTTGTTCCGGCTGCTGGCGCAGCGGTCGAGTTGGCCTGAGGTTTTTTTGGTCGGCTTCTTGCAGAATACTTTTTGGCTCGGGGACCCAAGTTTATTGATTTTCGGATGAAACTTCGAAATTTCGCCAACCCACTTTTGATCAAGGAGTGCAATGCTTTTGGTTTGCTTTTTATCATAGGAACATAAAAACGATTGCACGACGAGCAAATCGATGCCATTCCTAGCTTTATCAAAACAATCAAAGTTTTTTTTTCCTTAAACGATTGGCACAAAAACGCTGTAGGTAACGCTGTCATCCTAGAATGTTAGAGAAATTTGAATAACAATTGGATCCACGATGTTTGTATTGGTCAGGTTTGAAAGTAAATCGATCAAAGTGTATAGGAAAAGGTCGAGAGAAATAAACTACAGTCGTTAACATGAATTAAAAAATCAGCGATTAATGGCGAAGAATATAAAAAAATCGTGTTTATCTATGTGCACATTTTTCGCATTTACAAGTAAATAGGGTCCAATTAAAAATAACCCATAAAATGGGAGTGGCGAAAACTCATAAAGTTTGCGGGGTGAAGGGAGATAAATCAACTAATTAAAAAGTCATTTCAGTCGATGAACAAACCGTTCGACGGAAAAGTTTTAGTACACCGACAAGCTCTAAAATTTGTGTCGTGCATGAAAAATTGCTCGGCGCAAAAGTTCGCCAAAGTCAAGCGAATCAACTATTACATTTACGTTTGTACGCCAAATTGTCTTGTATGAGACTGTGCTTTGAAATTTTTTCAACCAAACAAACTACAAAAACAAAAACTATTCACCGAACCGTTCAGTGTTTCCTCTCATGTACAATCGTAAAATATGAAGGAATGAGGCCCACTTTCACTCTGATTGCTACGTTGTGTCGAAGAGCCGTGTTTACAAGCAAACGTTTTTCAATAAAACACGCTTTTGTTGGATCCACGTTGATATGATTGCACATTCCCAATCACTCCGAGTCAATAAAAACAACGGGCTATTTGTTACACAACTATCGAATCAAACAAAAGAAAGAAAAAAAAGCTGTACTTACACGTAGTGGTTGTCCTCGTCCCAAGCGACGATTTCGGTGACGACAAAGAGTCCGTTTGTCAACGCAGTAACTTTCGGATAGGACGAAGTTGCGTCCGACACCATGACTGCGTGCCTCCAGTCGCCACGATTGCCCTGCTTCTGCGGCAAAATCAGCACAAAGGCCGTCCCGTCTCTATTAAACAGCGGCGGCACGAACTGCTCGACCCAGCCGTTTCTCTCTTTGTACTCGAGAGCCTGCAACGACAAATGTTGTTCCATAACAAAGGATACAACACATCGTTGTTTTCATCCATCATCAAGGAAATGCTTTTGCCATATACCACGTATTTAGCAACATTTATCCGACAGTTTTACGCACGAGCGGATCAATGCACAAAACTGCACCAGCCCATGATGTACGAATGGTATACAAACCGTGGTGCAGTTGCGATGTACGACGTCGCAGGTGTGGAAGTAAGCTTGATTCTGGACTCGGTTCATCCAAATGGCGGTGACCAGATGGTCGGTGGGAAAGGAAACCGACGCTAATATGCGCTCGGAGAAGGACAGCTTGTGCGGGCACTCTATTTCGGTCAAGCTCACATTACCCCTGATCACCTCCTCCAGATCGACGTAGAACAATTTTACGGTCGGGTTTTGCGTGCCGCTCTGAAACACGTACACGATATTTCCATGGTATAAATAATTAAATTTGATGAGTCGTGAGAAAAGAAAAAAAAAAAAAAAACACATTTCCCACTTTGCGTGTGATATTTCGCGGGTCATGAAAATTAATAACTTGACGATAGAGCCGTGGATGCTTCATGCATATTCATAAATTCATTAGATATAATTACAGGAGTCCCGGTAGGCTCGCACTTAGCCGAGTTAACAAAAGGTAGTTTAATTACGAAAATTCCGACGAGCGCTGAAAGGAGCCTGCACGAAAGGCAAAAAGCCGGGGGGAGGGAGGGTTAGGCCTCGGATTATTGCGCTCGTGCTGGTAAGGATAGCACACCAGAGAGGCACAGCCTTTGCTCGTGTTCGTCTTTGTGTGTATGTATATAACTACCTGTTTTGTGTCTCTATTGTGCCGATGATCGACGAGCTTACACTCGCACCTATATATACATGCGTCATATACTGGCTGCTAGCTGCAACTTTTTTTTTTTTTTTTTTATACGTGCTCGTAAGATTTACAAGTCAATCGAGTACGGGTTCCGGCTTTTTTCGTGGCAGCTCAGTCGTGGTGTGAAAAAAAGGAGAGTCAAAGGACACATCGATAACGCATGGCTGCGGCTGTTCGTTCGCTCGAAGATGCGCGTAGTAAAGCGTCCACACGGCTGCTCGAACTACCCCTTTGGCTAAGGCTTTCCGAAGCCACCGCGTAATTATCATTCTCCTGTAGTCACTCGTTTTCAAGTTTAACAATGCCAACGCCAGGTAGTGAGACGTTCTATTCGTGGGAAATTTCGCGACAAGTTTTTTTTTTTTGCTCCATCGCGCGAACAACGCATTCACCGCTGCACACGTTGGGCGGGCGACGAGCGGTTTATAATTCAAGCGAGCGACATAATAACGAGAGTAGACAGCGATATAATTATCGGATTGCGTCTCGCGGCTCATTCTCTTATCCCCCGGGTGGAAGCCGGTGCATCCATCCTCTCCCGCGCAGAGACACTCTTGCGTCTCTCTCCGCTCCACGCAAGAGTTAACGCTGTTATTGCTATCGCTGCCCCGGATGCTCCCTCGGCAAGCATTACTTGTTGTGGCCCCAGCTGTAATTATCGCGCTCCTGTATATATACCCATCTGTGTACGTATACATGTACATTGCGTTGGTGTAAGTATAGTGTAGCCTCTGCTGAGTCGGCAGCGGAGTTTAGAATCCTTCCGCGTGCCTCTGGAAAATGCGATCTCCTTCTCTCCTCCTCCCATGTTTTTTTCATTTGTTTTTTTTTTTTTTTTTTTTTCTTTCCATCCTCCAGCTGGTGCAATTGCGCTCGCGGATCGTTAATTTTTACGACTGAAGCGTTTTCAGCAGTCGCGGTCCTGTCGCCGGCTCCCTTTTTGAACTTTTGCTCTCGGTGTTTTTAATGGTTCCAGAGCCTTTTCTCCCTTCGTCCCACGTTTTTTTCTATTCTCTTCTTTTTCCAAACTTGCCTTTCGGTACAATGGTGTTGTCGAGTTGCTCTCGTGTCACATGCATGTGATGCGTCAAAGGGAAATTGTGTTTATACAAAAACATTTTTTTTTTTTTTTTTCATCCACACAGCTACCGAATCGCTTGACACGGAATTTCAATAGTCCTTCCTCTTTGTCCGTGTATATTCAGACGTGGGTTTTGATACTTTATGAAATACCTTGTTTTGCAGCTTTTTTTTTTTTTATCGTACATTATTTGTACTGGAATAAAATTGTTCTCGTTACTACCTGTCAAACAACTTGTTAACTTAATAAAATGTTTTTCAGAAAGTAAGTAGTGAATGGCACATTTTAAAAAAACTAAAAATGTGAACGAAAAATACTATATAATAAACTATATTCTCTAATAAAATGCGCATTTTTGAAAAGGCATTCAAGTTCAAAGTGTTCGAAATTCCATGAAGCAATTGCCCCCAAGAGCGCGTTACTCGAGATTGTTAGGAAGGGCGTGCACGCGATACTATAGGTTGACGAAATCAAAACTTTCGCTCCGTCATTGCCCCTTGATTCGTCAAAATTTGGAAAACAAGCGTAGAACAGCACCGTGATGAACTTCCTTCGCGAGAACGAGTCTGCGCTGCGAGTTTGATTAGCCGACGAAACTCGTTACAAAGTAAGTAGTGAAGTGGTGTAAAACCGTGTACCTGTTGTGCGCCACGTGTAGTTACAGTAACGAAACTCGCGTGATTTGTTTGCGAGGCTCACAAAAAATTTTTCCTATCTTTTTTCTTATTTTTCATACAACAAAATACATTGTGACAATACTTTTGTTTATTTTTATTTCAAAAATAGGTACGATGGATACGAAAATTCACGCATCCAGAAAACACGTATTGTAGAACTACGCGTTATCAGGTGATCGCACACTTTCATAATCCAGCTGTCTGCGCGCGTTAAGGTTTCACGACTTGAAAAATCCTTTCCGGAGCAAGAGGGAGGGTGAAATAAATTCAAAGAGTTACCATTGGAAGCCATCACAAACGATGCCCCGTCGATGAAGATCCGGCAATATAACGCACCTATATAGGCGACGCCACCACTGCTATCCCGAGAGAGATACCTGTCTCTCCGCCGCATCTTTAGTACTAAGCCACCGCCTCCTCGACATCAATTCAACAACAGTGGCGGAAAGTCTCCTCTTTTTATCCGGGCTTTGTACCGACTTCTGAGGCTGATTTACTCAAACCGTTGCTTCTCATTATTTCGTTCTACTGGCGTTTGCTCTCTTTACTTCGCCTTGAATTTATCCACAGATGTGAGTATCTCGCGCTTTTTTTTTTTTTTTTTTTTTTTTTTTGTTCTTCCCAACTGTGCAAGCACAAGATTTTTTTTCGAAATGAATTTTGATTAGCTTATTATCGTGGTATAACTTTTCGTTAGAAGCAATTTTAAATTGCCTGGACTCACAAAATTTAAGTCCTGCAAGTACCATTCGAGGATCCATCCTTTACTGATAGTGTTACAAATGCATATACACTAGTGGACTCGTCTCGATTTTACCATATCCCTTCAAAGATTGTGTAAAAAAGTGTTTCGTACGTTTCTTGCACGTGATACTCCACTGAATGTAAACGGCTCTACAAATTTCATTAGCGTCAATCCATTTTAATCAATGACAAGTGTTTTCCTACTCACGGCCATATCTAACCTCGGTTGTATCCCTTTCCGCAATTGTCGGTCGGTGGGTTACCGAGGATTTCGCTACGGTGGCCTAGTTAGGTATAGGTACACGTGAATTTGCTGCATTTGTAGCTGTACATATCGTTGAAATTCCGGATCGAAGAGGCTTTTCGTCCTTGGAGAAGCAGTTCCGCCTTGGCTGAGGGTTTGAGTTAGTAGTCGAAGGGAGGGGAGATGCTGCAAAGCTCCGAGATTGAAATCTGTTTGGCTCGATTGCCGCGGACTTTGCGAGTTGCAGGACTAGATGGAGAAAAGAGATATCTACACGTACACGCGGGTCACACGGGAGACGTGTATAGGGTACAGAGACGTCCAATTTGCAGCTGGAGATACAGGCGTATTTCTCTGGCCGAAGGATAAGAACAATCCGCTCGTCCTTGCTCTCCCTATACGTCGCACTTGCTAGGGATAAGCCTCGTAGAACCTCCCCTTCTCTTCCGGATAAAAGCTCCTTATTTTACCTTCCACCGACAAAACGAGACGCGCTAGGGAGTGGTTTTATTTTTAGTAACGAGCCCTTGTACCCGCTGTTACGATAATTGCGGGCGGATTGTTTCTGCGAGCTCTTTTATTTTGGGAAACGAGTGTTCGGACAGCGATTGGACGGAAGAGTCGGGCGGGGAAGTACATTGCAGCTTTTATTTTCTGCTGAATCACTCAATTAGGGGATCGAACGACTCGTAGTTGTCAGGTACAATGACATAGCGCGCGTTTATTGACAGTAGTATTGGAACATTTTAGAAAGAACGGATGATCGGTGCATGGGAGGGGATTGTTAATTAACACCAGCGTGACCGTGAATTGATAGCTGACACCTGCCAATATTCGATATTAATTCAACCGAGTTTTTGTTGAACCGGAGAAATTTTTTTTCACGAGTGTATATACTCTGTCGATTTTTCATGACCAAGCGAACATCGTAGCAAAATTTCACACAAATTGACCTTTGGACGTAGCCGACCCATTAGACTCACATCTTGCACACGTGAGAATCCACCCCTTCCCCAAGCTCGCGCAATTACGATGACTCCTTCCGCAGCAGGAGCAGCAGTAATGGGTGTCCGCACCTACAAGCTTTTATATTATGCAAGCTGCAAACGAACGCAGCGCCCATCCTCGCGTTACGCGTTATGTCTTTCTCCTCTGGTGATGGTAGCTTGGCCGCAAAAGCTCTGCTGTCGCTGCTGTTCGCCATACACAGTGGAGTATACGCCCGTACACACGGAGTAAGTCCTGGTTGGCTACACGTGTTCGGTCGAATCGTTATGCCGGTAGAGCAGCAGCAGTCGTGCAAAATGCGCACAGAAAGACCGGTAGAGAAAGATAATGGCGAGCGTCGTAAAGTCACCCCCTGCCTGGTGCCGCTGCTTCCACTCCGTTGTGTTTAGTAATGCTATTACTAATTTATTCGGTGGCTTCTCTCACTTCCACTCGCTGTGTAATATTAAGTGAGTGCACGAGCTGTACGACCATACCGTACTTATACGTGAGAGCGGGGTGCTTGTAATTGCCACAATTAATACTAATTCTTGCCACCTTAATGGGCACAGTGTAAGCTGTTTGTGACGCTCTTGCCATATACTTTCACGAGTACATTGTTGCCTTGATTACTGTCATGCTTTGTATTAATACAGCAGAGTGAGGGAGCCGTTAATATTATCCAGAAGACCGTCGAGCTAGCTTGGGTACATTGATGCTTGGCGATGCGTGCGGGGATTTTGTGGATAATAATTTATGGTTTCCTGTAACGTTAGTTGAGGCTGAATCAAGTTTTAATTAATGGGAAACTTAATCAACCGGGCCTTGGCTGCACAGTAGCCGTTTTCGGTTGGCTGACTAAATACTGATCTTACTACGTGATCCTTTCGTTAACAGAAAACCAGCTTTCACACCATAGAAAGTAATTCAATAATACGTATTATCGAGTAATTAACGGAGATGCATTACGGAATCGACGTAATACTTGCATGTCTGATTAATCACTGACTCTACTACTTGTACGATTCGCACAATTTTTTTCTTTTTTTTTTTTTGATAGGCATTTTTGACGTATTATTTGAAAAATAAGAGTTAGTATAATATTAAAATTATGTTTAAGTACATTCGTTGTTTGATATTATTACTAACATTTATTTAACTACAAGACAATGTTACGCTACGTAATAATGATTAATCACTTGTGTAGTGTAAAAATATTTAGTTACATGAACAGTGAAACAAGTAACTTATGAACATCATATTAAAGTATAAAAAGTGTGTTAGTACCTGGCAGAATAATCATTATTTTTTTGGTCTGACTAAACCTCGGTCTGACTACTTGATTCGCGAAAAAATTTTTTACGTACCGTATAGTTTACATGTATCATTCGAAAAATATATATTAGTTGAACATAATTAACTGCACGCTGTAGTCAATTGGCTATAATATTTTCGCTTGTGAATTGATTTGACCACACAAAGGTGTTTACGCCGTAAAGTGTGAAAGAAAATTAATTTAATGAATAAAAACAACAACTTTTTCATTGTTTGCAATGCAATTTAAAAAGTCGTACAAAGTCCTATGAATAATCAAATGTCACATGAATGTATTAAAGTCGTGTTAGTTAACTGCTATTATTCTCGAAGGTCTGACTAAACCTTGATCTTATCACTTGTGCGAGTTAAAAAAAATTTTTCTTAACAGGTATCTTCATGTAGCATTTAAAAGACACGCTGAATTTAAAAATTAATGAAATATTAAAATAATAGTGTAATATGCCTTAGAAAATTTGCTGAACTATACACAACCATTTAATGCTCCCGATTTGCGAATGCATCACTTTACTTAAATAGTGTAAAAAGTGTTAAAAATCCGTAACTTTAAAGTTTAAAAATTGTATATTGATGTTGATTTAACTTGAAAAAAAATTAGGTTAAAAAATAAAATAAAATAAAAAACCAATGTAGTAAACTATACAAGTCGTATCGATATGGCTGAGCAAATATTGATTTTACTACTTGGTTATTTAAAGTAAAATTTGTTACAGTAAATAAATTGATCAGTTAATGACCTTAAGGGAATATCAAAAGGTGTTAATTAATAAGCTTACCTTGGGATAATAAATTGGTATGGCGCTGGGATATTGAAAAGTCAGGCCAGGAAAACCGTAGTAAGGGATGTTCATTATTAGAGTATGCGAGTCGTCGAAGTGGCCGAAGGCCAATTTAGTGCCACTTGGAGAGAACCATACGGCCTTGTTAGAGCTGAATACCTCCTCTGGAAAAGAAATAAAATTATTGTACGAGTACCTTGTTATCGTGGCAAAAATTTTCAAAGTATATCAACACATATAGATTGAACCATAATCAAATGTTATGATGTGATTTTCATCAGCCAAATAATGAAACGAAAATATTTACTTGATATGAAAAAACTGTATGAAATGTTTCTCGCGCAACTTTTAATAACGGAGTTCTTTACCGTCAACAACATTTTTTTAATAAAAACATATCTGCTTGAGTCACCCTCTTGACCAAGTTTTTTCAACTCAAGAAATAATGATGTGAACTGCCAGAGCAGTTGGCAAGGAATTTATTTTTCCACATTACGGTGTGTTGGCAGATGAGATAAGAAAGCAAAGACTTTCTGGCCACTCTAATCCTCTTATGGGCCTCGTGATGTTTGGGAAAATTTTCTTTTTCCTCTCAAAGACATCAATTTCACGATAAATTTAAATCCAAATAGCTTTAAGAAAACAACATTTTCCCGTTGGCTTGGGCAAAAAACATTTCAAACCTTGTCACATGATAAATTTGAAACACGTGAGATTATTTCGACGCGATATGAAAACGTGTCAAAAAAAAAAAAAAAAAAAAAAATACAAGTCAACAATAACTCCATTACACGAAAGCATTCTCGGACACTTTCAAATTATTTTTACCAAAGTAATGTTGCAAAAAAAAAATTCCATCACACAGCGCTGCTCGTGTACACTCTTACCGACGGAAATTGCGGAAAACACGTGTACCTCGTGGCCTCGAGTATACATAGCTAGCTATTTACAGCCGAGAGAATAATGCAGCAAGCAAGGAGAGAAAGAGAAACATAGAGAGAGAGAGAGAGAGAGAGAGAGAGGATATAAGGGAAGGGTGCTCAAAAGCATTTACGCTCCAGGATGCACTTAGCAACGTAACTTCGCCACTAGGTCAGTGAAATATCACTCTCTCAATGCGCCGCTCGTCGCTTTTGCACCTTCCTTAATGCTCTTGCACACGCACCCAAGTAAACGCTATCCTATAAGCGCGCACAGGGGAAGTAACCTCGGGCCATGGATGCTTTGAGCCTAGCTCGCATCCCTTTTCTTGAACCAGCCAGTTAAATTGAGCTCTTACTTCAAGTAAATAATGTGTTGTGGTGAGTCTACATGGATGAATATTTTTTTAGCTTGAGAGTGCCCGGCTCACGTATAAATATTTGTTTTTCATCTATCATCCAGAGCAAATGTATGAACTTCTCCGTACATTCTATCGATGAAACTATAATCATTAACGTGATACAATTTACATCATAAGATGGAAAAAATAATTACCTCCATGTATAATATAGACATATACGTGCTTTAGTTAAATAAAATAGTCGATGGCTAAAATTGCACGTAGAGTTGTTTGCAGCGATCCTTGATGTGATCTAGCCATACATTGGTTTATTCAAGCGTGAGAAATTTCGTTGACGCGGAAATTATAATTACTGACGTGTACTGTTATAATTAGTTCGGAACGAAGCATCGTCATTGTTAATCAGAGTCGCAAATTACTTTAAAACTTCACGAATGCCGCAGGTGATTCGATAAAATCGATACTTCATATTACTTTCTTCGGAACATGAGATTTGCTTCGTGGTTCAATGGAGTCACGTGCGTAATGTAGAGAAAATTTTGTATTACTCGTCAAAGTTGTGCATTACCCGTTGAGCGTAACAAGAGCCGCTCGATACGTCGGAACTTACTTTTGCTATGCTAATGAGCGCACCTAATGTTATAATTAACGACTCGTGACAGTATTTAAACTTCACGCAGTTTAACGGGCAGAACTTACAGAGAATACTCGACGCGGGGCTGAAAAAATGAAGAACTTGCATGCTTAAAACGTTGTCACGTCCATTATATCGTCTCAACTCGTACGCTCGTTTTCATTTTTACGAAATTCCAACAAAGTGACACTCACTCGTTGTTTCCCTACATAAAACATGGAATATCCGATGTGTAACGCAAACATTTGTACTCCGTGTTGTTTACCAACGACACACAAACAGATTATTGATGCCCTTGTATGCACACGTGCCTCAGCGTCAACCCGTCAAATTGACAACTTTTTCCGCAGCGACGCTTGTCCTGTTGGATGAACCCCCCCCCCTCCTTTTTTACTCTGGCATTTTGCAGTAAAATACTGCCAAGCCGCAACTAGATTCCACGAAACGGTAACAAAAGCTTGTATTGCCGAGTAAATATGTTCAATCTGCTTGTTCCTGTTGACGCACAAACTATTACTCGGATGACACGTACACGAGCAGCGAGGACAGTTCGGTAACGACGTCAGGATACAGTTGGCGTGACCGCAGCCCGCTCCCAAAGTTATAACACGTGTTCGACCCTCCCCAGCTCCACCCGTGTCCCAGATTCGAAGCGAAGGGAGGGAGGGAGAGCAAAAGCTTCTTCGAGTCGCACGCACACGCTGTCGGCTTTCCAGTCTTCCAGAGCATTTTAGCGCGGGGTGAAACTTGTCTGGAGCAAGTATTTTCCAACTACTCACGCGTGCGTCGTCCCCCGTCGCTGCTGCACGTATTTACGCCACGCACGTCTCTGTACGGGTAACCCCAGAGGAGGAGGGAGAAAAAAAAACCTTCGGTCGGTGGCTTCATCAAGACTCGCGGGAGGGAAATAAAAAAAAAACGAATCCCCGTCTTCGTCCCTCCGTGGGATGGGTGTTTTTTTTCCACTCGCTCGTGCCGAATGCCACGATCCTCCGAGTTTTTTTCCTCCCCCACTGCTCGACTTTCACGGAGTAGTTCTTGCCTCCCCCGCGTCTCTTTAGCCTCTTTGATTCACCCTCTCGTCTCTTGCCGTGTCTGTTTCTTTTACAGCCAGTTAGCAAAGGTAAAGAGGCCAACGTCTGTGGCGGGGAACTCGAGTTCTCGGGTGCGACGGGGATGTTTAGGTTTTTTTAATGACCCACAATCGGAGAAAAATCCAATTTTTCGGTTTTTTTTCTTTTTGAAATCGATTAAGAATTGTTTTTTTTGCAGAACAAAGAACTTTTATAAATAACAATTCTCGTTTTTAAGATTAAATTTTTTTACCTCCTCTGTATACTTATTGCTTTGTTGTACACATTTGCGTTAACAGAAATGGTCGTAATTGACAGGCTCACATTACTTTAGCATTTTAAAAATAACACGAAATTCTAGTCGGATTGCATGGTGCAGCTGGACGCTCAAATATATACATTTTGTTTATGTACTTTTATGTGGCGGGTGGGATGATAAAGTTTTTTTTGCGTAATTCAACAGTTGAGTGTACAAATTAAATAACATTTGTGACGTATGCTGGTCTTTTTTCTTCATCAGAAATAATTTTAAATAAAGCTAAACTTTATCACGTATGAAATTTACAACCAAATTATCTCACGGTTTCTACGACACGTTATAATTAAAATTATGCAAATAAAGCTTTTAATTGGGTGAATATTGTTCAAAACATTTTCTACTGTGCTGTTGTAACTCGGTTGTAACCAGCAAACCCTGCATCGGTCAGATGTGGCAGCTAAATAAATTAACTGGAACAAGAGTTGAAATCATTTCGAAAACTGTACGTATGGCGACGCGCGGCCTTGGGCCGTGTTTTTAATATTTCGTCGACCCGGAGAAAAAGTTTCACCGCCACGGAATAACGCACGAAACGACAGCGTCGGAGGCCGGAAAGAATAATTTCACCAAAGTTTTTTACTTTCCTTTTTTAATTCGAAACAAGATATCCAAATAGTTTGTCTACTTCTTTGATGCCGCGCTAAAGTGGTTGTTTGCAATTTATACGGCCTTGTTACGAAGATCGGATCTTATTTCAGAGCTTATCTCAACTTTGGAAACTTCACGCGGTATAAATCATGAGTTTTGAAATTTTGAAAACACGTCATAAATAAAGTTTAAATATTCATGAACGCATACATTAAACGCTCGCTCTCTCTTGAACGCGGAAATTCATCCCACCGGCGCCGTGACACTAGCATCGTCGAAAACGTGGCAAGAACTTGAAAAAAACAAAAAAAAACAAAAAAACAAAAAAAAAAGGTCGTGAATCATTTATTTTTACAAAGACACACTTACGCAATCACGAATATATTTGAAAATAAGCTTGTATAGCGAAGCCCCATCGAGTACACGCTCCGACACATAAGCGTCGAGTTTAATTAACGTTTCACGAAATACACGACTCGGCGATAATACACGGGCTAACGAAATCTGTCCTCATCCAGGGAAGGGGAACAAAAGAACCCGCGCTCCTCCATACCCTTTAACGCCCTGAATGGGGTACACGAGTTCACAATACGCGTGCTCCATAATCGCGGTATTAACAGCCGTAGCTCTTGTCCATCGAACGAGAGGGAGGGAGGTGTATTGTATGGCCACATGACGTACGTTTACTACTTATACACTGTAATTAGATTGTCCGTATCGATCCGCACTCGAAATCCGATGGGCGCATCAGTAGCGCCCTTATTGGTTCCGCGCGAAGAGAACACAATGTGTTGCGCGTGGCGTGGGAAAACCGGCTAATTTTACGGGCGGGAAATTTCTTAATTTCGAGAGGAGCTGCTCGGCGTGCACCCTGAAATGCGGAATCGGAGCCAGCAGGCGCGTTAAACTTTTATCACCCCCGAGGAAGGGTAGCGGAAGTGGGGGGGGGGGAAGGAAGGGGAGGAAAAAGCAGAAAGAAAGACCGGCTCTCGCTGGCAAGGGCGAAGATTACATTCTCGAGAGAGTCGATTAGAATTCAGCACTGTCGTTCTCCACTGGGGGGCCCTCCCCGACGAAAGAACTACATTATCGAATCCTATACGGCAGCAGCAGATGTAGTCTCCTGATACGGTAATGCTGTCGATACCTGTTCTGCGGCACGGCTCACGCGCGTACACGTGTACGTACGGGTAAAAGGAAAGTCGATCCACTGCACACACTCGGCACTGCTACTGGCAGCAGGAGGAAAAAAAAAAAAAAAGGGAAGATAGGGTGGAGAAGATGGTAGCAGGAAATAGCGAGCGCGTGCCAAAAACTTTCGGAAGCGGCGGCGGTGGCTTGTATATTTCTCGTTCGCGTCAGCTCTAAGACAAGGACCCCTCGAGGCCTTATACCGCCCGTGTGCTGTAACTTACAGTCACCGCCGCCGCTGCAGTCTACTGCCGTGCTGTTATATTCGCTAGAGGAGAGATATAGCTAGCGACGCTGACAGTCCTCTCGAATGAGCTATGCCATTCTCACCCCCTGCCGTGCTCCATCTCCTGCCTCCTCCCATCGTATACTCCCTGGTACAGACCTGCGGTGGATATCCCTCCGCACGACTACTGGCGCGATTTTCAGAATCCCGCGAAATAAACGTTGATTTACATGTGTCGAGGGCGTCGCGTCAGCAAACCATCTGATTTCCAGGCCTTTCTCCACGTCTTGGCCTTGCCTCTCTCTCTCTGTCTTTTCATACGCGGCGGAACTCGAGTTCCACCCGAGACCGTGTATACATATGTAGGCGTGCTTTGGCTCCAAAGTATACAGGTACCTTCCATTTCAATTTCTACGCTTGGTGACGACTCGGGTGTTGCTTTTTTCCGATTTATCGCGCTGCTGCTATTTTGAAGAGAGCGAGAGAGATGGTCAGAGAAAGCAAAAGTGCGGTGCAAGGGAACGCCTTGAACCCTTCTCCCTTGTTTTTTTTTATTTTATATTTTGTTTTTATTGCCGGCGTAAACGCGATCGGGAACAGGTGTCGGATGGTACGGTTTTTTTTTTTTCCAACGCGACGACAGTGTGCTTTTTTCTTCCCGATCATCTCTCGGTTTCGGGCCACGAGCCCTGCATTCGTAATTCGGAAGGAAGTTTTTGCGCTGCATTGACAACCATGGGCGTGCATATTTTATTCGCACCCTTGCGCGGCTGTAGGAGGGTGGAAGAGGGACGTGTGGGGTTGATTTTTGCTCGCACGAGTGATTTGTATTCGGGACTTTGGCGCGTATCATTGTGCCGTGTTTTTATGAATCCGAGAAAAATAAAGGCACTCTCGGGGGAGTTGGTCGGATTTTCCGAGTATTCGCGGCGGAGTTCACGTGATATAATTTTACGGGATGGCAACAAAAAAACCAAGGTAAAAAGCTTTTTCCAATGTTTTCCAAGTTTTTTTTGAATCCTCTTTGTCGGAGGGTGGAATTTGTACTACACCATGTTGTTGCAAAGTTTTTTGGAACTTTGAGTTTACTTGAATTTCATCCTTACGATGAACAAAGTACAAACTGGAGCCGCGTACGAAGTTACTTTTCGCTGGATTTTTCAAAAATGGGCGTGATATAATTTTTTTTTTTTTTCCAATATAACATCAGATCCTGTTGGATTTCAAATTTTATCGATGGTACTACGGGAAGCTATGGTTATTACAAACAAAATTTACATTTCGCAACATTAAAAGTCACGTGTCGATTCCTCCAACAAAAAACTTGCTGAAAGGTGCGAGAATGAGAAACAAAACAAGTTCAAAAAGGCCTCCTCGACTAACATGCGTAGCATCGCATATATTAAACTCGGTTCTCGAGTCTCTTAAATTGAGCTTAATATCCCTTAAAAGTGCAGTCCCCGAAGAGTACCCGCTTGGTGATTATTAAATCATTTTTCTCTCGCAAACGAAGATTAAAAATCTTTGGCGCAGAAAAGCTCCGGTTCTATCTCTCTCACTCTCTCTTGAATCGTTTGCACACACAGTCAACGAGCTAATGTCCCGCAAAGTCTCTTGATCCTCCTCCCCTGGTGGCTGCTGCGTGCCATTTATTTTCCTCGCGTCTTCCGCGCACTTTTCATTCATATTCCCGGCCAGTTGTGAGAGCTCTCTGCTTCTCAGCGAGCGCATAAGGGGAGCGTAGAATCCCAAATCAGAATCGTGTCCGAAATACCGATGTCTTCCATCTTCTTCGCCATTCATCTCTTATTCGTATGACAAAGAGAGAAGAAAAAAAAACTTAAGAAAAAGTTGAGAAAACGGCCCGACGATCGACGGATGTAGGTATACATGCGAATCTCTCGGAAGATCGTATGATTGGATTTCGATGCTGGGGACGATCGAGCGTCCTCGCCTCATACCGTAACACCAAAAAACAGCGTCGAGAGGGTACTTGGAAAAATATCGAGCCATACCTGGATCGTCTCGTGTTTTCATTTCTCGCTGTGCTTTTCCATGCCGAGCTTGAATTGACCGGTTTTCTATATGAACTCTCGAGGCAGAGCCGAACACTCGTCCGATTGCGCCGGTGTTCATAGGATTTTTCACTCCGGACGCTTAAAGAGTCTCGGCGATGTAGGTAAGTGCACATAAGTATAACCAAGGAGGAAGAAAATAAAATCATCTCTCTCTCTCCCTCCACCATCGATCGATCCGGCACGACTTTTTTCTTACTCGCGATTATGCTGATACCAGTTGTTTTTTTTAATTTTCCTTCGACTTGCGACCTATACGTATATACCATGATAATGATGATAATAATAATAATAATAACCCTTTTGGTGCACGAACGTGCAGTCGAGCATCCGAATAAGGATCAGTGCATGATAGGAGGTGAGAAACGTTGCGGTGGATTCAGAGTGTTACTCTAAGTAGAAGCTGAGACTCCATTAGCGAGTGGGGGATTTTCCAAAGTATTTTTCTAAATCCCCTGGGTACTTTCAGCGTCACATCCGGCTGGATTTTTTTGTGGGGGAGAGAGGGGTGGTGGTGGAGAGAAAAAAAAGTCCTTTTGCTTTGGCACGCGAATAAGATCAGATGCGTAGCTGGGTAGAGTTGATGGAAATTCAGTGCTACCAGGATTACCGAGTAATGCGCACTGTTGGATCCATCGGAGCATGTGTTGCTTTCGGATCGACGATTCACCCGGTAGTGGTGAGAGAGAATTTTCTTTACTGCATCATCCCGTGCGTTGGCCTGTGAGCGCAGTCTTTTTGTTTTGAATACACGCGAGGAAATCAGATGGCATGCGCGAGTTTCAGTAGTATAAACTGCGTTTGGTCAGACGGTCATTCCTTAATGAGATGAGAGGTAAATCATAGGCCAACTGCACGACAAACTGTAAATTTAACTTTAAGGTCTTCTTTGAAACACTGATAGGAGAGACTCTTGGAATTTAAGCCACAGTCATTGGTAGATAATAAATTTGGATTTTAATTTAAGTAAGTAGTCAATCATCAACAGTTCGTAAATCAAGTATTTAACAATTTGTAACGGTGGTTGTAAAAAATTATGGTTATGACATCGAATGCACGTACATTAACTATAACTGACTGTAATTTAACACTCAGTAAACGTTCGTTTGTCGTTAATCCAAAGCCTCGAATTATGGTTAATAAATCATTCATTAAATAACATAAGTTGCCCTTTTCAGCAGTGAAGTTGTCGGTGACAATACAGAAAAAGGATTTTTTGATAACCAGAGAATAATAATTTCAAAAGCCCGAAATCACAGAGAGCTTACGAATAAATTTCAGCGCAGCTACAACTTTTCGAATCCTATTGTCTTTCAAACGGGGATAAAAGTACGTGCATCCAGTGCGGAAGAGCGGAGCACAATCTTTCCCATGTGCGTAAATCTAAGCGGATTGACAGTCACGTAAAAACGGGTAAGCTAATAATGTCGGGGAAAAAAAGCTCCCACACTTTCTCTTGCCTGTGTCTCTGGTCTGGGGTCGAAGAGGAATATATTATACGCGTAGACTTGAGCCGGTAGTTTATCGATCTAACTGATTGAGCGCACTGCAGGTGCGGGTGTGTTTTTTGCTCTGGTTTTTTTTTTTTTTTTTTTTCATTGCCACCTTTTTTTTATCAGACGGGCGGTATTTTTGACGTAAAAAGAGCAATGGAAGTGCGTGATGGTATCTTTTCACGGGCCCCGTTATTTCCCTTTGTTTGTGTGTTTGATTGAAACGATGAATTTGATGCAGTTTTTATTTTTGTGGATGAATGACTAATACACACGTATGTATTGAAAAAAAACTGCATTTTAAAAACATAATATGTAATTATTGCGAGCAACGTAATTGGATCGAACAGCGTGTGATATGAAACATTTTTCGAAAAGGGATCCCCAGCTTTGTATTGAGTTACATTTTAGCTTTTTGTCTGAACGCTGCTTTTAGCTGTCACCGTTGTATGTCCGGATTTTTTGTATTCCCCCCGTATTCATATTTATAAGCCTACATCACTATCTGAAAACATAAAATGTATGTATATATATATTTTTTTTTTCAACAAAGTTTGATCGGTGGTCGGTCAGTTATGCAAGATCCGAGAAGACGACCTCCATACGAGCTGGTTGAATAAAAATATGTTTTTTCATAGTTGACGACTTGTGGATGCAAGTTACTTATTTATTATCTATTGTACTATTAGCTACTTTAATGTATAATTTTTGTAGTCGACAGTTCATGTTAAAGTTTATGTGTTATTGTTTTCCACCATACTCTCAACGGACCGTGTACAGATAGCACAAAAAGATTTTTCATTATTGTACTTTTGGACAACAATGGAAAAACCAACATCTCTATACCTTTGAAATTTGCGTACAATTTTATTTTCACTTTAATTGTTTCATACAATTATCACGAGCATTTGTATGCTACAGTTAGACCGCACTCCTTATGTAACCAACAGAAGTTATTTATATATTCATTCTCTCTTTGAAGAAATATAGATGCAGAAATACAAAGAATCCATAGGTGAGATGAATAATTTTTTACGTTATTTCTTCCCATTACAGAACGGAAAAAAAAAAGATGATGGATACATGAACACCATTAAAAACGGATAAGGGTCGGTACCAACCTTCGTACACCCAGTCGGGTATGCCGTTGTAGATTTTGCCGAAGGCCCCGTTGGTGGTGATCTGGTAATTATTGGGCAACTCGGCCTGCGGCCGATAGTAAATGTTGCTCTGAAATACATAGACGAGGCCGTTGCCTTGAGGCGCCCAGACCGCCAGCTGCAAGCCCGTTGACTCGTTGTCGCTCAGCAGCGTTTCTTGCCTGCAAACATCATTATTATTCCTTCGAGTGTGCTTTAGTCGATTTTTATTTTACTTTATTCTATTTGGTTTTGGATACCGGGATGAATGCATACGTCGGGTACTTGGGATGGAAAAACAACACGAATTTCTCAAACAAGCATAAAAATTACCAACCATCGAAACACGAACGCACCGCGAAATCGCTCAGGACATTTTTTTTCTTCAGATTTTTTTTGACTGAAAATGACATCCCTTGGTAATTTCTTTGAATCAACTTTGGAATGCAAGATTTCTCGGATCACCACGAATTCTCTGATGGACCAAGAATCAATGCATTACCACCCCAAAACAAGCTCTTCGGAGCCATGCCCAAGCTCGAGAGAGATATAGGTGGATCGGGGGGACCAACGTAAAAAGTCGTAAAAGACACGGTGGGACAAACATTCACCGCTGCATCGGAGAGCTATGAATAAAATCACGTAAGCTGTAAAAAGAGGGTGGCATGGGTCTATAAAACACACGCATACGTATATCAGAGGGGATGTGTTCTCGGTTTATGATGGGCTCAACATGCCAGTGACGATAACATAATATGTGTACGCCTGTCTCGCTCGGCGTGTACCTCTAGTCGTACGACTGCAAGCGAAGGTATAGCTTCCAAGACGTTGTACCGCGCGACAAGTGTCGTACGTGTGGGACGTTTGAAGCCATACATGTACAGTACAATACATCTTGCAGTGCAGTTCGTATGGGTGATATAAATGCGAATATGGGAAAAGAGGATAACAACTGCGGTGTCCTGGAAATTCCTGCACAAAGGATCACTTGTCCCGCTACCTACACCCTGCTGCTTAACCTTCTTTCTGGGGTGGTTCTCGAGGCCCGAGTCCTCGGACAAGAAAAACGAGCGCTATTTCTTTCATACTCGCGAGCTCCGTATGGGATATATAGCGCAGTGTCGAGTTGCCAATGAAAACGAGCTGACGCGAATCGCTTGGCTGGTGCTGCACCACCGGCCATCGAGGTGTTTACTTTCGAGAAGAGGACCATATTTCCATCTGCATTGCGCCGTGTATCTACTCCGCGTCTGTTATTTCTGCAAAGAAGACATTGATACCGAGGTTAATATATGAGGGAGCCCGCGAGCTACGAGAAAATTACATGGTCGGGAGGAATGTTTTCCGGAAAATAATAAAGACAGCGGTGGCTTGTTTTTTTTTTTTTTCCAACATTCCGTTTTGTTGGGAAATCGAACTCGAAGTCTGTCTTTTTCTCTTGCCGATGTGATTGGCGTTTCATAATACTTGCTTTTTAGTGCTACAGTGTACGTAGTGTATCATCAACGTGAAATGACATCTCGAGATGAAATTATCAAAGGCTCGGACCTTAAAGACGTCATTTTCTGATGTAATTTTAAAAACTAAAGAAAATCTCCAAAGAAAAGCGCAGTTTTGTAATATCCACAGTAAAAGTTAGCAACGGAGGTACACACACCAAAACAACGAATAGGCCGCGCTAACAAGACGCAAGCTCGTCTTCTCGCATAAGCGATGGCAAGAACAGTGGAGCTTGCGAACCGCAGCGGCAGAAGAAGCGGGCGAAGGAGGAACTGAGATACGGGCTCTCTGTGCTCTTGGGCGGTGCAATAACGGCTCGCACTGCGGCTGTCATGGTCATTCCTTCCCCTGCGCACGGACTATACCTTTATTACCACCACCACCACCACCACCACCACCAGCAGCTCCGGCCGGCTTATACCTCGAAAAAGACGATTTATGAGTGAGGCAAGGACGCGGGTGTGTGTACGTGTTCTCGCTCGCTCGTTTCCTTGGAGGAGGAGGAGCTCGATGGGGGAGGGGGAAAAAACGGGATGACGGAAGGTAGGGGTGCTCGCAACGTGTTTTGCCGATTTTCTTATCCTCGGCTGTTGGTTAAGTAAGGCCGTCCCTCTTTCGTTACGAAGATCCCGGGGAATTAGTGTTTTTCCTGTACCAAAGCTCCGCTTGGCTCGATCGATTCGAAGCTCCCGTTTTCACTGGAAAAAAAACGCCCCCGAGCGTTTGATCTTCCATGAGGAAGTCCGAGTTTATTTCGAGGAAGGGTAACGAAATTTTTGACCCTTTCCGGACGAGTCTCCCGCGCAATTTTGGATCAAAGGGTGCAGCCGTCGTCTTGGAAAATTGGTTCCGGAATCGCACTGAGGGAAGAGCCGGCGCGGAAAAGTCATTTCTGGGGCTCAAGTGATAAATCGGCGGTGCGCTCGGCCTCGTGAAATAAACTCGGGGGAATTAGTGAAAATTAAAGTCCGAGGCGTAACGTCGTTTAAGAAACGGCAGGGAACGAAGCGAGGCGCGTACTCTTCCTACGCAAGTGTACACGTATTTTTGCACGGACGGGAGAAAGTTGGGGAACACCAGCCTCTCAGGGGGAACCTCTGTCGCTCTGCTCCTCCGGGCGAAAAGGTGGGTGTGTGCGTTTGTACAAGAGGTTCGGCCAAAGAGCTAGATTAAATTCGCGTGCGGGTACGGTTTGTAATTTGCGCTCAACGCTGGTGGTGGTCTTCGGGATTAAAATGCAAATCTAAATTTTCCAGAGTTCGCGCGGAATAAGTCTGAAATATGATTACGAGGTGTATAAGTGAATGCGATGAGCAGTCGCGGCTCGTTTACTTACAGAGTCTCGAGGTTCACGATCTTGTACTGGGCCAGGAACGTGTGACGGAAGAGCTGAAACAGAGAGAGAAAAAAACGACACCTTTGAGTGGCTTTTTGAGCTTTTTTTCAACCCCTCACCCACCCCCTTTTTATTCTCATTGAAATTCGCTACCGTGCATTTTCGTAATATTACACCGACCCCTGCACCGGTTCGTCCTCAGACTAGGCGACCAAAGCTACTGCGCAAGCCTTTTTTTTTTTTCTTCTTCTTCTTCTTTTCCTCCGCGGTGTCGAGAGAAAGCCTCTGGGTTCTCTCTGAGCACAGTAGCCGCGTCCCCAGGCGGAATGACACGGAAACTTTTTTTTTAAGTATTCCAGACCTCGTCGCAAATTCCATTCTCGTTTCTTATTACCCGAGGAGGTATTATCATAACTGATTCAATTTAACCCTTCATTGCTCTTTGGTGGGCGAACGAATATACGTGTGCATTTATCTCGTCCCTCGTAATTTTGTATAAGATATTCCGTTGCGAGGATGAATCAATGGATACTTACGTCTTGATCTTTTTCCTTTTGCGTATGTGACAAAAAGATGCCAGTACTCCCATTTTAATGCATTTTTTATCGATCATCGTGATGTATTACTCGAGAGACTATAATGTTTTTCCAACAATCACTTTCTGAATTAAAAATCCATCAAGTCTCATTAGCACACATAAAATACGAGCAAGCTCACATAAGGTATGAAATTGATTAGATTTTTGAATGGTCGATTGTACAAGAAATAACGTGGATGGATTTTCGTTGAATAGGCAAATAAATGATATATTGAGAGCTCGATCAACTAATTTTTAAATTAAAATCAATTATATACAACTCACTAAGCACATCCAATAGACGCTAAGATCGGAATATGCAAAGTCCTGTCGAAGATCCGGTCAATGTTAAATTATTTGATTTAAAAATTAATTGATAGAGCTCTCAATAGATCTTCAACCATTTGAAGAAGGAGTACTGACTGTTGGGATACTTTTTCATATTCACTCCAAACAAGAGAAAAAAATAAAAATAAAATGAAAACAATCGTGCAGAGCACGTGTCACCTAATTTATGAAAGTAAAATACGCGTTTCCTGCAGCGAAGCGTCAATTATCTGCACGATACGAAACATTCCTTTGTGTCGTTTTACTTCAACTCCGCGCGAACGTGCTCCCCGCGCGAACACAATTCATCCCCTCATATTTTACCAGCCCGACTCGGGCTTGGTTTATCCAGCGCTTTCAATTAAAAGTATACGTTGGCTTAATCCAAAGCCCCACGGCGTCAATGCGATACGTACGGCAGCTGCCGTTGCGTGCACGATGACGCCGAATTTAAATGTTTGCTCGCACGTATGCATACGAGAAACAGAGAGACGGCGAACGTGCAAAGTCCGGAAAAAAAACTTTTTTTTCATTTTCCTCGGCTCTCAGCGCGGGTGCTTGTTTGCCGATGAGCTCTTCCTTTGCAGGCGCGCCAACGAGGATTCGCTTCTTTGTTTGCCAGACGAAAACTTTGTGCACCGCGTGTCTTACACCGATCCTCGGAGCCGGGGGACCGTGAGGATCCAGCGAGATCTCGAGTGAGGGAATTTCACGGTGCCGTGATATACTTTTAATCAACTGCTGGCTTACTCACGAGTACAATATTCCAGACAAAAGGGGGGGGGGTACAAGTGTTGGGATCGCTGTGGCGAGGGAGCGCGGATCGATGGGCAAACTTTGAGAAGTAAAAGTATTATTAATAAGCAATGGTAACCTTGGAGGAATGAGAGGGATGGCGGCGCCAGATAAACGCGGCCCACCGATTTCCCTCCAATAAATTTAAAGCTTACGAGATATGGGGCGCTACGGTGTGTCAGGATCATCAATAATACTCGTCGATACGTGCAGGACTGGAGCTGCTGCTGCCGAGGGGAGTAGGGGGTGGGTTGGATCGGTGGGCTCGAAGGATTCATGGTGCGCGCGCTATTTTGCCTCCATTAACTCTTTCGCAGCGGCGCGCCATAAATCACGCCGCCGAGCTGCGATAAGGATCGGAATAACGCCATTTTCACGCGGTGCGAATCATTGTCGCCATCCGCGGGGGGGGGGGGGGGAATCGATCGAGGGTGCTTTTTGTTCTTTCGACCCTCCCCCTCCGCCTCGACGGTATCTGCATTCCGTGCCTGGCGCTTGGACGTGCTCGATTTTTTCCTTCCTTTTTATTTTTACATAATTTTTTTTTCCCCACGGTCAGCCAGAGCGCTGTAGGGCTTTCGACCAATCGCCCGGAATTTCCGATGCTCTGCCGAGAGTTGTTTTCCCAACGGTGTTTTTTTTCGGGTTCCTCCGGGGGTTTTTGGTTTCCATTCGGCGCTCCATCTCGAGGCCGGTCGATCCGAATTTGATTCTCTGTATGTGCTCTCGACGCGCGATGTAGCAAGAAAAGCTCCCGTGGTTTTAAAAATAAATGTACCTTTGATAATTCCGAGTTTTCTGCTATTGTGCCACGATGTGATTTTTGAAAAATATTTTTTCAAAGAGTTGTAAAATCGGTATTGATATTGCCAATAGTACCGAAGAGGCTGCGAGCGTGGAAAAATCTATTTTCGAGAGCTTTCGAGCTTACACGTATACGGGAGAGATCGTGTTTTCTTTTTCGTGCTTATCAGTTGTTTTTCTTTTTTGCGCTGCCTTGCGAAGCAATATTTGGTATTTGAAACACTCGTTCGTACGATCCAGAGAGAAGTACAGTGATTATCGAAAACAGGGATACTTTGCCGGTCAATCGGAGTGCACATCGAAAGCTTTCTATGCTTCAAACGCCTCGGGCAATCGTTTGATGAAAAAATGTACTTATTGAGCTATTCCGTGCAGAGTGTGGCCGAGCTCGTCGCACATGGAAGCCGATAGTGCGCGAGTTGACAATAATATCAGGGGAAAATTAACCAATTAACATTTTTGCTGTCGTCAATCGGCAATTCCCTCGTTGGAAGTGTGGGGCTCGCTCACTCGTTCGCCGATACCTCGATTAGAGAATCAAATGTACAGAGGCAGCAGGAGCTAAATTGGATTCGATTGGCCGATTGCGCGAAATTACGGCTGCAGTGGGCACGCGTTTGCTGGGGTTGGGGGGAGAGAGGATGCGCGTGTGCGCGCAAGTATATATAAATGCCTGGAGCGGAGCTTTGTTTGAAGGACTCAATACGGATACGACTCGATCGTTTTGTGAAAATTTCTCATACCGTAGTTATGATGGGACTAACAATAATTAGGTGTGAGTACTAATTTTTTCCCAACAAAAATCAAAATAAAAAATTTAAGGGGAGAAAAAATATTTCTCCAGGTCAGCTGTTTTTGCACTGCAAAATACGTTTGAAATTTTTAAAGAGTGTTTGGTATCTACCGAGCTTTTTTTGATTTTTCTTTCTATCAACACTTCAACTCAAGATTTTAAACAATAACTCCACTGCGTTTTCTACAAACTTTGGGTTGTGCCCAATTAAGGAACTCCATTGTCAACTTTGGCGTAGTTACAGGAATCGTCAGTACAGATAAAAATATCCAGTAAAATAGATCTCTTTTCGATGAAAATTCATATTTCAGGTCGTCAAATTGAAATAAGTACGCAACATCTGACGAAGAGAACAGTGGACCGTAAAAAATGTATTACCTCAACTCTTTCGTTACGAGAGAACTGCCCGGAAAATCCTGCAAGAAAATAAAATTGCCACCCCGAAAGAGCAGTGGACACCGGTAGGGGTATTTTTTCCCCCCGTTTCTCGATTCATTTTCAATTTGAACGACCATCCCACTGCATCACGGGCGGATTCACACGCGCGACGGGAACGGCGATAATCGCTTTCAACGCCTCTTCCCCTCCTCCTGTCTTCCATTGCTTTCGGGATCACCTCGGTTCCGCCGGTTCAGCCGACTCTTTGTATAATCGCGAATTATATTGGATTCGCCAGGATGCGTGCGTGCACCGGCTGTCCGGCTGGCTTTACACGAATCCAGGGTATAAGGTATATAGAACACGCCGAGGGAGGCTTTGTGCTTTTTACCCGCGAGCCGATAGGATTTGCGGCTTGGTACCACCAGTCGTGTGATTTTTGTTTATTTCCTTCCCCCCGACCTCTGAGCGATTACCGGCTCCACTCCGTACCGTTACCATTTCTTTTTCTATATTTACGATTTTCACAGTTGTTTTGGTCATTGACGCTTTTTACCTCCCATGATAGAATTAATTTATTTCACGCGATAAAATTGCAAACAAGCGAATAAAAGCAATGCCTGGGATTTTTTCGATAAAAAGAAATTATAAATTCGCATCGGGTGAATCATATCTCATGTATATTTCCACCCTCGTGATTCGCGATGTTTTACCTGAAACCGCGTATAAACCACCATCAACTGCAACATATACGTCACAAACCCACATTCTACAAGCGCGTCGGGCGTTGTTAGTCGCATAATCGTCGCTTTCACCTCCCCTGTACTTCTCGCTCTTTGGTTCGTTTCGTACATGCGATTGCGGAATCGCGTCGCGTGCCCAATTACCGCTCGCGAAAAAGCCCCTCTCTCTCTCCCTCCGCGCGACGGCTCGAGTCACTTAAGGGAGCTCCTTGAGCATTCCGGTCTCGCGCCTGCACCGTTGACTAGGCGGCAGCAGCAAGGTGGCTTTTAAAGCCATTTCGAACGCCAAATTAATTTCGCCCCTTGGAAATGCAGAACGCCACCGCTTAGCTTTCCACCCGCGTTGACACCCCCTTCCCCTCCGGACCGCACCACCGCGAGGCGCACGTGCAGGTAGCGGCCTTTGCTCCTCTGCCTGTCGTGCATCGCTGGCGCGGGACACGGCCCGCGGAAAATAAAGTGGGCTACTACGTGCCGGGTTTCCGTGCACCGGCCACCTCTGCCCCTGACACTCGTATAAGTCACTGTGCCCCGGCGTCGTCGATGCGCATCGTTTATTCGCCGAACGTTACTGCCCACCGCGTACACCGATGGTTCCGCATCAATTGCTACAACATACACTTTTGGCTCTTCAAC